GAAATATAGAAAGCTACCAGGCTTGAAGGAAAGGGATTGTATGACTGAAGCTTAAGTGAATATCCTGGTCCAAAAGCCAGGGCGTGCCCGGCAGAGTACATCTCTCCCCAGAGTGGAAGTCCTGTGGAGGCGAGAGTGCTGCTGGGAGTGAGTCATACTCGGGCCACTTCGTCTGCCAGGATGGACTGTTTGTCCAGCCCAGACAAACAGTCCATGTTCTATCGCACAGATAATGAAACTCAAACATCTGAAATTGCTACTGCTGCATAGGTGTACATACCAGTTCCTGTTTCTGGTTCCGCCTAATTTACCTTGGCACTATTTGCACAGAAGTCAAATATTTGGTGCCTTGAGACAAGTGCAGAGCAAATCTGGGGGTGTGGCCTGTACACGTCACTTTCCACAGTGCAGACTGCCTGGCTTTGTCCATTTAGCTTTCAGAGCTACTTCTTTCCCAGGAAAACAGCAAAGGCGGGGAATGCAGTCCAGAGTACTGCGCTAGGAAGCAGAAGTCCAATGGCATGACCTGAGACAGGCGATCGGCTTTTCCGAGTCTCAGATTCCTCATCCGGAGCACTGGGGCCAAGGTTAAGGCTTTTTAGGGATTTTAAACAAGCAAATGAGAAATGCATAAAATTGTTGTTTATGTTGTTTAAATAATTAAACAAAAATCTCAGGCAGTGACAGCCACTATAGATGACTGAAGAAGCACAAAGTCTTGGCCACCAATGGCCTCGTCACCAAGGAGCTGTTTGCAGACAGTGCTCACCCCGAAACTTTCCTCTTCTCACTGAAGAAAGCAGGGCCTCTCGAAACTGCTCAGACTGTGCTGGGAGATCCAAGTGTCTCCAAGAAACACAGAGGGCTGAGGAGGATAACATGCCATCCTGCTGACGGCTAGACGAGGCAAACCTCCTGATCCTCAGTGTTTCAATCTAGAAACAGCAGGACCATTGTGAAGTCTGTATTCAGTCCTGGACACCAAGCAATCACTGCAGGAAAAAGAAGAGTCTCTGGAATTAATACAAAAGCTCATTCCTACCTAAGTCCACATGGAACAAGAAGTGGAATTCGTCAGAGGATCAATGGTGATGCCACACCCAAGTGGTGAAATGGAGACCCCAAGCATTACCTGACACTGGCTTATTTTTACTGATTCCCTAGACCAATGCTGTCCAATAGAAATACAGTCATCAACTGCATATATAATTTAAATGTTCTAGAAGTTGTGTTTTAAAAGTGACAACAAGCCGGGGATTAAGCTCAGTGGTTCCACCGCCTGCCTTTGAAAGCGCAAGGTCAGGAGTTTGATCCCCGGTACCAAAAAAAAAAAAAAGTGACAACAAAACAGGTGAACTTAATTTTAATAATATTTTATTTAATCCAGTATATTCAAAAGTTATCATTTCAATGTGTAATCAATATAAAACATTAATGAGATAGTTTATATTTTTTAGTCCATAAGAAATCTGAAATATTTGGGGTTTTTGTTTGTTTGCTTATTTTTTTCAGATAGAGTCTCGCTGTGTAGTTCAGGCTAGCTTCCAACTCAAGGTAATCCTCCTGCCTCAACCTTCTGAGTGCTGCAATTACAAGCATGTGCCACCACGCCAGCCTACTTTGAAATCTGATGTGTATTTTACAGCATATCTCAGCAGATCTGTTACACTTACAGATTACCATAGCACTAGAAAGCAAGGATTGAAAATTAACACCAGAGCCATACTGTGTATTTGCACATTATTTTATATATACTTATTTTAAAGAAAAACAAAGCTGAAAATTGTGTCATAGGATTTAAACTGTTTTGGGCCAAGCTCTCTTGCAACTTCTGCAGAAGAGAGAAAGAATGATTGAGGCTACCTCAAAAACCCAAACTTTTTGTTTGCAGTCAGAGGTTGAGATTTCCATTGAAATATCTGAGGATTTTATTGCCATGTCAGGTGGATCTAAAATCTTTAAGTAAAAAGTACAAGCTGTGAGTCATCCTAAGGCTCCTAAACTGCTCATGCTTTTATGGTTTCTTGGCTATCTTAAACACATTTACTTCCTGACAAACGTAAAACAATGAAGCTTTACATTTAAATGGGTAATAAAACAAATTGCATGAAATCCCTTATTCTTTTAGACAAAACTATAGGAAACCAGTTGTGGTTAAGGAGGGGAATAGACCAAGTAACTTGTTTACATAAATGTTTGCTGACCCAACTGTATTGGTACTGTGACTCGGATCCTCTTATGAGTTGCAAAATATATTATATATATCGCTGAGCCTGATTGTGAAATGTCAGTAGCACCCTTAGTCCTGGCAACAAAAGAAAAGTGTCCTGGTCACTCCCCAAGACCCCTTTTCAGAATGCACCACCCTCCCAGTTTGAGATGCAATGCTTGAGGCTTTTGGTACAACCTGATCAGTTAACAAAGCACCTGTGGTTGTAAATATTCTGTAGTTTCTCTCATCAGCTAAAAGGAAAGGATTATAAAATCAATATGTAAATAGCCAAAAGGAAAATAATCCTCAAACCCCAAGGCCTCTGTGGTCCGAATTACTTTGCTGTACAGATTTTTTTTTTTTTTCCATTAAAAGCTAACACCACCTTTGTACCAGCCAGCTTTTTCCATCTCTGTGAGCAAATACCTGGGAAAAACAAATCAGAGGAGGAAATATTTATTTTGGCTTATGGTTTCACAGATTTCAGTCCATGGGCAGCTGGCCCCAAGACAGAAACAACACGGTGGAAGGGAAAGCTGCTTACTCGGCGGACAGGAAGCAGAGCAGAGGGGCAGAACCTGAGCGAAGGCAATGGGGAGCAGATACAGCGGGAAGGTCACGCCCCATGACCGCCTCCTCCAACGAGGGTCCGCCTCTCAACCGCCGTTCTTCCGTTCCTCCGGCTCCGCTGCGGTGCCTTCGCCAGCCAGGCGCATAGTCCAGTCTCTGCAGCCAAACTGAGGATTAGGGCAACGAGAGCACGGTCCTGAAGGGCGGCTCAGGCCTCCGAGTTTATACTTTCTGACCTATAGGAGTAGCCTCACTTTGTTCCACTCCCATGTTCCTACACTTGTTCTCTCTCCCGCACTAGCTTATCTTAAATCTAAGTTTGAATGAGTTACATTGTTTTTAATTTGTCTTAATGGTCCACTCAGGGATACAGTTTGAATTATTGGACTGGCTGTGGAGGTATCCTTCCTTCCTTCCTTCCTTCCTTCCTTCCTTCCTTCCTTCTCTTTTCTTTTTTTAATGAAAGCACATGTTTTTAAGTGGAACCTATGGGAATATAATTTGAGACTTAGTATGCAGAGTTATTAGAATGGCAATTATAACTAAATAAACATACATCAGTTCACAGTAGCTGATCTCAATTAACCTGGTATGGGCAGCTTTCTCCCACATAGAACAGCAAAATTCCTCGTGACATTGGCATCTACTGACTTTGTGCTGAAGTGGTCAGGAAAAGAAAGGCAGAGTTGATGACTAAGATAACAACTGAGGTGTGAGGTGTTAGCAGTAGTTGTTATGTTTGTAGATCTCTTTTTGGACACAAAATTCACCACAGTGTGATTATGTATATTTAAAATTGTACTTATGTTTGTGCATATGACGTATGTGTACACCCCAGCCAAACCTCATTGTGAACATGAACATTAGTGGATACTTTAGTGCAAGTCTCAGCAAACTGTGACCCACAAGCCAAGTCTAGCCTCACAGTTGCTTGCTTTTCTCTTTCTTGAAACCAAATTTGATTCATACTGAAAATGAACAATACCAAACTTCACATGATCAAAAGAATCTACCAGTAATTGACCTGCATGACTCAGGAAGCAGAATGTCCTTTAGAGAATGACAATGCAATCTTGTAATCTTGTAAATGCCCAGGATACAATTAAATTTCATCAGAATGCAAAGAGAAAAATGAGAATCATAAGAGAAAAAGACATGTATTAAAAATATTTGTGAGATGACCCTGTTGTTAGGATTAGCAGAAAAAAATTTAAAGTAGCTTCTATAAATACGTTCAAGAGAAAATAAAGAGAGAAATCCCAAGGACTAAATAGTATGTGAAATTAAAAATTCACGAACTAGGCTTATCGTCAGTTTGTGAACTGCAAATTTCATCAGTTAACTTGAAGACAGACCACGTGGGATTATCCAGTCTAAAGACCAGAAAGAAAAGGGCCAGGGATTTAGCTCAGTGGCGTCGTGGTCATGACTTGGATCCCCGGTACAGCAAAGAGAAAAAAAAAAATGACGAGAAAGAAATGGAATGAGGAGACTCAGTTACTATCAATAACAAGGGGGTCTTATGCACATACAATTAGGGTCCTAGAAGAGAATCTGAGGCATTATTTTATAGGATAATGCAAAAATGCATTAAGGCATTGATGCAATAATGGCTGAAAATATCCCAAATTTACAAAAAAGACAGTGATCTACGAAGCTCAGTGAATGCTAAATAGGTTAATCACAAAGATAATTATATCTAGATTCATTATAGTCAAACTAATCCAGTAAGGGAAAAAGTTTTAAAGGCAACCAGAGGAAAGTGATATGTTATGTTTGGCAAAAACGATTAAATTGATAGCTGACTTATCAGAAACAAAACATAAAAGGTCAATGGGTTTACAGTGTTGGAAAACAAAACTGAATCAAGAAGTATTCTTCAAAACTGGAAGTAGAATAATAAATAAAACCAGGAAATCCATTGCCAACAGACTCCACCCTAAGACATGTGAAAAGAGGGCCAGGGATTTAGTTCAGTGGCACCACACCTGCCTGGCAAATGCATGGTCCTGAGTCAAATCCCTGGTACTGCAAAAAAAAAAGTGAAAAGAGACTCTTCAGGAAGAAAGATGATTCACCAGGTGGAAACCGTAATCTGTAGTGTTTTGAGTTATCCTTTGTGGTGTAGTAAATTTAGTGTTTTTTGGGGGGGGGGATTGAGACAGGGTCTCATAATGTAGTTCAGGCTGGCTTTGAACTCATGGGGATCCTCCTGCCTCACCCTCCCCAGTGCTAGGATTACAGGTATGCACCACCATGTGGGCAATTTAGTAATTTAAAAGAATAGTCAGTTATTATTTCTCCCTCTTCTGTAGCCTAGCCAGACTTCACTGGATGATTCTTCTGCTCTATGTCTTACTGTCCAGGGTCACTCACTGGAGAGTGGAAAGAGCTAGGAGTTCCAAGATAGCTTCAGTCACACATCTGGCGGTTCAGCTCTGGCAGCTCAAATGGCTGGGACAGGCCTGTTTCCCTCCAAGTCTTTTAAACCATTCAGTAATCTAGCCTAATCTTATGCATTTGCCTACTGGATTCTAGAAGATAAAAGTGGAAGGAAATGGCTTCCTAGGACATAGTCTCAGAATTGGTACGGCACCACTTTGCCATGTGTTGTTCATCAAAACAAGTTAAAAGAAGGGCAGGGGCTTTAGCTCAGTGGTTTCGCGGCCTCCTCCTACGCAAGCACAAGGATCCGAGTTTGATCCCCGGTGTGGGACTGCATAACCTTTGTTCCTTTTCTCCAGCCCCATTGTGATTAAATGTGAGTTAATGGATAAAGATGCTTGTTAGTTTTGGGACACTAGATAAAAATCTGTAACAGACCTAAAGTCCCAAAGTAAACTACTCAACTCCTTGTTTGCCTGGAACTGATGTTCTGGACACCACAATCTATAGAACAAGCTGCAAATGTCTGCTGACCATCAATACGTGACAGTCGACCACTAACCTTGTCCCCTTTTCTTTAATTCTATATGTTAACTTCCCCCTCAGCCCCCTATAAAAACAGCCTCGGACTCTGAGCCAGTTGCCTCTCTAAGCTACTTTGCTTTGGGAGTGCCGTCTGGCCAGACTAATAAAGCTCTGTTTTACTTTCCAACTTGTCCGGTGTGTTCCTTCCCGGGTGTTCTTCGCTGTAGTCAGCTCCTCGGAGGGTTTGGTAAGGCCAGCGGTCTTACACTGGAACCAAAAAAAAAACAAGTTACAAGACCAGCCTTGATTCATGGGGTGGGAGAAGAGACTTGCCTTCTCAACAGGAGAAGCAGCATGAACATGTAGAAATGTGATGAACTCGTGCTGGTTATTTTAAAATATAATCCATCTCAAAAGGGAAGGAATGAGAAGTACTGCAAATATTAAAATGTAGGTGGATATAAAAATCAATATATATTTTTCTTTTCAAATCTTTGATATACATATTGAGAGGATGAGAATGAGCAGAAAACACGAACATCTGAGGCTAGGCCTTTATTAGGGGATAGGGTGCTGGGCTGTTTCAAACAATGGCGAGAGCGGAGGCCAGGGGCTGGCTAGGGGACCTCTTATATGGGCAAGGGGCAAGGGGCGGGGTGGGGGGAGTGGACACAGGACGTAGTGGAGGTAGATGTCTGCCTGCAGCCAGAGGTGAGGTTTAAATCCACTGGCAAGATTGAATTTCTTGGTGGTGGGAAGGACTATAAGGGGCAGAGCTTCATGGCAGGAAAGTTAGGTTATTGTTTCCCTGAGTGATTTATTATCTGCCGGGGAGAGCCATTTAGGATGTGGGGCTGCCAGAGCCATCTTATCCAGCAGAGAACTCTTATCACATATGACTAAAGCAAAAATAAATAATGTATGTAGATATAATGTATGTGCCAACAGAACAAAGGACTTGAGGTGGTATGTGCAACTGTACTATTGCAAGTCTCTTGTGTTTTATGGAAAATATCACAATTTTAACTCTAATGGACTGTAACTAGTTAAGAATGAATATGGTAATTTCTATAAACACTGCTAAAAGAATACAAAGAGATATGCCTTAAGGCTTAACAAAGTAATTAAAATGTAACACTAAAAACATTAATTCAAAAGAAAGCAGGAAGCAATAACAGGAACATAAAATTAATGGAAAAAATTGAAAATGAATAGCAAAATGACAGAACTGAATTCAACAGTATCCATGTTACTATGAATATAAATGGACTAAGCATACTAATTAAACAGATTGGATTAAAATAACAAACCTTGATTGATGCCTACAAGGAAATCACATAAAATTTAAAAAATGGACAAGTTGAAAATAGAAAAATGGATAAAAATATATCATACAAACAGTAAGCTAAGAAGGCTGCAGTGGCTATAATAAGAGATGAATTTGAGTCCAAGAAAGGGGTTTTATGAGAGAGAAAAAATAATCCATAACAATAAAACAATCAGTTCTTTAAGAAGATGTTAGAACTGTATCATACAACCAAGATATCTATATGCCCCCAAAATTTTGAAATGTGAAAGCCTGACAAATAAACCAAATGCATATGTAAGACCGAGGGCCTTACCAAACGCTCCAAGGAGCTGACTATAGTGAAGCACACCGAGGGATCCCAGCGGTGCCTCCAGAATGCAAGGCCAAGGGCCTTACCAAATGCTCCAAGGAGCTGAAGTGGAGCACACCCGAGGATCCCAGCGGTGCCTTCAGAATGTAAGACCAAGGCCTTACCAAACGCTCCAAGGAGCTAGCTACAGCGAGGACCACCCGGGAAGGAACACACCGGCCATGTTGGAAAACAGACCTTTATTAGTCTGGCCAGATGGCACTCCCGAAGCAAAATAGCTCAGAGAGGCACCTGGCTCAGAGTCCGAGGTTGTTTTATAGGGGGTTAAGGGGGGGTTTAACATGTGGATTCACAGGAAAAAAAAAAAAAAGAACAAAGGTTAGTGGCTCATTGTCACATGCTGATGTTCAGCAGACATCCTGACTGACAGTTACGACCACCCTGTTTACAGATTGTCCTATAGATACTGGGCCCCGGGACATTTGGATTTAGGGCAAACAGATGGCTGAGTAACCTCGCCCTATTACTGATTGTCCATTGTCCCGAGGCAAACACACTCCAACCATCAAATTTACAACAGAATCTAGGGGAGTAATTAACTTTTGAATCACACAGTCCCACACATATACTTGAATTAACATTCTTATTTCAATCATTGATAGTAACAGTGAATAAAGATCAGTAATAATATGGAAGAGCTGAACAAAATTATCAACCACTTTAACCTCATCAATATTGACAGTGCTCAACCACTTGAGAATACACATTCTTTACCAGTGCTTATGCAACGTTTACATACAGGCTATATTCTGGATAACACAGCTCAAAAAATTTTTAAATACTGAATTTCACAGTTTGTTTTCTAACCACAAAATAAACTTTGTAGTCTCTAACAAGTCTGGCCGTGAAAGAAAGGCAGAAGATGCAAATTATCAATATTGGTGTTTTAAGCTATCTATGGTTGTGTAACCAATCCAAAATTTAGTGGCTTAAAACCACTGTTTTACTAGAACCAAGATGCTGACCAATGACTCCACATGGTCTCCCTTCCCTTGTGGTCTTCCTTATTCCAGTGGCTCTTTCTTCATACAGACTCTCTTCAGTAGGAGAGCCTGTGCTTTACAGCATAGGTCAGGGTACCAAAGGGGGGAAAAACAACTGATGCCTTGCCTTGGAGGACAGTCTTTCCTCAAGTTTAAGTCTGGGATAGGATCCCAGTACACATATTTTAGGGAATGTAGAGTTGGATGCTTGTATCTATATGTTAGGGACCAAGCTATGTGAGGAAAATGTTGGGGACCAGGTTAGTGACTTAGGTTCCACAGTTTTGAGGCTGGTGTGACCTGCTTTAGGAATAGGGAAGTATGTGGAAGGCTGCATGGTTCCCTGATGTATGGGGAAAGCTTGCAGTCATAGGACTTCTAAGGCAAGATAACATTTGCTGAGAACAATGCAAAAAAAAAAATATGCAGGAATCCAGGTATGAGGAAGAAACTAATCCCCTTTAACTTGTTCCCTTTGTAAGACTTAACTTGTTCCTCTTTTTTTTTTCCCTTGGTAAGGGGGATCGAACTTGGGACCTTGTGCTTGCAAGGCAGGTGCTGGAACCACTGAGCTAAATCCCCAGCCCTGTTCCTCATGTTTTTATTGCCCCATTCTTACTGTAGTTACTGCTCCAGGAAAAGTATACTATCCCTCTCCCTGCACTTCTTGCTGGCTAATAAAAATGAGTCAACCATGGAGATTGTCAAGCCTGTGCACTAGAGGCAGCTTCCTCCGGATCCTCTTATACCTTGATTTTTTTTTTTCCAGCACTGAGAATCGAACTCAGGACCTTGTGCTTGCCAGGTAGGTGCGGTACCACTGAGCTAAATCCCTGGCCCTACACCTTGAATTTTGTCTCTGTCTTCTTTTATTCTGTGTCACCACTCCCCCCCCCCCCCCAGGTATCTGAGGGTCTGATCAGCCCCTGGCATCTACATTTCTATGTGACATGTTTTTATGCTTTCATTTTTGCCACATTCCTTTCTTATTCATACCTTTACCTGCGATCTAGAGTATAATGTGACTCCTCAAGCACTCTCCTTTGGGATGCTTTCTTCTACACTGGAGTTCAGAAAGCCTTTTGCATGCTTCATTTTATTTTCATTTTTGTTGTGCCACTTAAAAAAATCTTGTTCATGCTATTATATACAATACAGATGATTTTTTTTTTTTGACAGGCTTTGCTATGTAGTTCAGGCTGGCCTTGAACTCGCGGCAATCCTCCTGCCTCAGCCTCCCAAGTCTTGGGATTACAGGCATGTGTTACCACATCTGGCAATACAGTTGACTTTTGAGGCTCTCAACACATTTTCTGTCAGAATTGTTCTAAGAAAGGGAAATTGTAAATAGGACATATAAGGATATTCTTAACTTTGTGGCTTTTATCTATTGCTATCTAGAGATGTTTCAGAAATTTAAATTAGAAAATTCTTCCTTATTTTCATGAAAACATGCATTTTTAGCCACATAAAAAACAGTTCTGTTTGTTTTTTTTGTTCCGGGGATCAAACTCAGGTCCTTGTGCTTGCACAGCAGGTGGCAGAACCACTGAGCTAAATCCCCGGCCCTTCTGATTAGTTTTGGTAAATATAACGTCATGCTAACAGAAAAATGTAGCCAGAACAAGCCCCTAGCCTGGAAGCAAATGACTATTATCTTCTGTGTCCTCAACCATTGATCATCATGCAGGTTAGATTTTCCTGTAGTTATAGTGGATTTGAATGAGGCCAACAACTAATGGCATAAAAGCCAGCAGAAGGAACTTTTTTTTTTTTTTTTTGCAAGAGTGTGCCTACTACATATCTTATGAAGAAAACAGAGCGAAGTATCCATCTGTAGCATTTGTGTACAAACTCTCACTAGACTTAAATTCCCTTTCTGATACTGATTCTACTGAAATGGTTCCCTCTCCAGGGGGAAATTCAGCCAGTCCTGGGAAAGCCTACGCCAGTGATGGTAACTTTTTAGAGACAATGCCCAAACTACAACCCAAAACCCACTTATTTATCACAAAGTGCCAACAATGCAATTAAATCTGAATACTGAGATTTTAGTTTAGAAAAAAACAACTCATACATTAACATCTTTTTTCTTAAAAGACAAACAGCACACATGCCATAAGTTTGCCACCACTGGCATATGCTATTATTTGTGGCTCCATAGTTATGGTCAAAATTCTTCCTTGCAGTGACTTTAAAGCTGGCTCCTGTTAGTGTTGGTTCGGTTCTCTGAGGGTATTAAAAAAGAGCCTGGCCCCTTTTTCATCTCCATCCTTCAAATCCTGGAGAACACATTGTGTTCTCATGTGTCTGAGCCTCTTTCTGGGTCCTCTTCCCCGCAGCCTCAGTCTCCTTCATTTTGCAGTGCTTAACCATCCTATTTTCCTCTTCTCCTTCACTTGCGGGGTCCATGCTGCTCATGAAAGTTGACCTGAAACGGCCCCTGGGTCGATTCTGTTGAGAAGGAAAAAGATTCTTGCCCAAGTTGTGGGGAAGGCAGTTGAGTCACTTAATTGAAAGCCAAAACTGTAAAATAAGTTTTCAAGGAAGAAATTTAAAGGCTGTGCATGGATTTCTCTTGTCGGAGCCACCAGTGTCTCCGTCGTGAGATGGGTCAGTCTTCCAATAAGCGTCTTGGGTGAAGGGACGGTGGGCCCTTGTCACTGCTCGCCTCCTCCAGGAGCCTTCGCACACCACGGCTTCCATTTGCAGCGGAAGTCTTCCATTTGGCGGGTGAGGGCCGATGAAATATAAATCTGTAGCCAAATCGATGTGAAGACCGCCCCAATGTTGACTTCCGGGGTCACTCCCAAATCACTTCCGGGGTCATTTCCGGAAAGTCACTTCCTGGGTCGAGGTGCTGACAGCCACATTCCCAGCGGGAAGAATTAGGGGTGCGCCGCCACGGCGCCCGAGGCAGGCTCTGCGCATCCTCGTAGGAACCGCTCGCTACTTCCGCTTCCTGTGCGTCCCAGTGGCCGGCTCCGGCGCGGGGAGAGCGCGGCTCCCTGTGGGACGCTTGCGGAGGCCGGCTGCATGCGGCCGACTGCGTGCGGCGAACCTGCGTCGAAAGGGGCGCGGGAAGACTGCGGCGGGGCTCACCCGCACTTCCTTCTGGATGTTCTGAGGACGCAAGGTGGGGTGGAGGTTTTGGCAGGCCAGCGCGCGCCTTCGGGGGTCCCGGAAGGGATCCTTGGCGTTAGGGCTCCTCGGAATGCGATGCGGGCCAGAGTCAGATCCGCGCGCCCTTCACACGCGTTTACTTCGCCTCACGGTTTGACTTTAGAAGGTTTTCTCTGGCTGCTGTGTGGAGAAGCAAACTCTGAGAGTACCAGTGAGAAAGCCTGCTGAGCAATCGAGGCCCAGCTTGACGGTATCCCGAGCAGGAATGATGCTGTTGGGGACCGAGAGGCCCTTAGCTGGCGAAGCTCCCGGAGATGCTAGCAGCTGCCCTGCTCACTTTGGCACGGGGAGGAGCGAGGGGTCTCCGGACCACGCTTAGCGTCTGTCTCTCGCCTCATTTCCCACAGTCAAACTTAAGTCCCTCGTACTCTTGTTGTGCTGGTTTATACTATTTTATTATGCATTTCGCTGTTTCTCTAGTTTTGAGGGGTTTTTTCCGATTAAGGGACAGTATCTTTTGTGTCTTTGGGTGCACTTGCCATACAGTAATAGTTCATTTTTCTTATGGATCCTTTTGGATGTTGCTGAAATTTCATCTTGTACTTTGAAAGAGTTACAGATAAAATGAATTTTGCTGGTCAAATGATACTTTATGGATGAATTGATGGCAGGTTTTCCATGTAACTCAGAAGCCTGTGGGGTTAAGATACACCAAAGGGAACTGATACTGTATTTTTGGTTTGGAATAGATATGAGTGATTTCAGTGAAGAATTGACAAGGCCTGAGTCAGAGGATGACCAAGAGGAGGCATCTACGGTCTCTGGTACAAGAGTGTACTTTCCGTGGCTTCAGAAGCATCTAGATACTGTAGGTAAGTACGTGATGTAGAGCTGTTAGCTGCAGTGCAGGCGGTGGTGAGATTCAGTATGGATACAGAGGGGATAACCAGGCTGGTTCCGTTTCCAAGATAGGAATACTATGAGTTTTTTTTTCTTTTCTCCATTAAAATCCCTTGTCTTTCAATTGATAATAAATAGTATATATTATGGTGGTTGCACTTTTTAAAAGCAGTGCTTGCTAGGCACTTATCTCTGGCCTGGCTGAATAGATAGGCTCATCAGTGGATTTTGGGCATTTCCCATTGAGAAGCACATACCTAAGAAGTATTCAGGGAATTTCTGTTGAATTGTTGAATTTCTGCTTAAATAATTTCTAATAGAATGATGATGTACTAGATTTTAAGAAGAGTATTTTCTTCCATTTTTATCTAACATAAACACAAGCAACGTTTTCTGTGGGCTAAATTCTCTGTAGAAATATATAAAAGAAGCAGTTGTTTGCATGTGTGTTGGGTGCTATAGTCCTGGGAGTACATGTGAGCCAGCGCTTTCTCATTGCCCTGGAATGTCTTTCTTAGCTCTGCCTTCTTTCCCCTGCAGGAATTCCTTGGCTCCTGCAATTTAACTCCCATATTTAAAAAATCTTACTCAAGTGTGTGTGTGTGTGTGTGTGTGTGTGTGTGTGTGTGTGTGTGTGTGTAGTACTGGCAGTTGAACCCAGGGCCTTTGCACTGAGCTCCATCCCCAGCCCTTTTTATTTTGGGACAGCGTCTTGCTAAGTTACTTAAGTTGCCCAAGCTGGGTTTTGATTTCCTGCCTCAGCCTCCCAGAGAGCTGGGATTACAGGCATGTACCACCACACCCTTGTAAAAACTTTAAAGTATTATCTCATTTGATGACCTCAGTAAATGAATCCTCAATAAATCTATGTGCTAGGCGTTTTAAATATGAGGAAACTGAAATTTAAAGAAGTAGTGGTATTAGGAGTCAAATCCACTCTTTTTTTGTTTTGTTTTTTGAGACAGGGTCTCACTATGTAGTCCAGGCTGGCCTTGAACTCACAAAATAGCCCAGGCTGGCATTGGACTCCCAGTAATCCTCTTGCCTCAGCCTCCCGAGTGCTGGGATGACAGGTGTGCGCCGCCATGCCTGGCCAAATCCACTCTTAAATCAAGAGTCAAATCCTAGTCTGTCTAATTTCAAAGGCTACATTTGTAGCCTCTGAGGTAGAGAGGTACTTCCTACCTCTATATCTTGGCCCGAGAACAGTCTTCTTTTGGGTGAATGGAAGATACTTTAAGGAAGAAGTGTTTTGTCAGTTTTCCGTGATGGTTGCCTGAGACTGTTGCTGACCTGGGTGGCTTGACACAGAGCTTGTTAAGTGAAGCCTCTGATTCAGAGGCCAGATGGGGCATATTCTGCATTTCCAGGTGGTTCTAATGCCGCTGGTTTCCGGATGACGCTGAGTAACAGGTGGTTTGTCTACATTAAAACAGTCTGAGAAACATTGAGTCTACAGCAGTAGTCCATAGCTTTTTTTCCTTACATAAGCCCTACTTTGTCCCTTTCTGCCTTGCACAATTTTAAGGTGCCATTTAAATTTTTTTTGTAGTAGTTATAAAAGATATAATTTCCAGTACATAATAGTGTAATAGCATTTTATTTTTTTAATTTTTTATTTATTTTTTTGGTACTGGAGATCAAACGCAGGTCCTTGCGCTTGTGCAGGAGGCGGCGAAACCACTGAGCTAAATCCCCGGCCTTGTAATAGGATTTTAAATGAAGTTGTATTATTTTCAAGTTTGCTCTACATTATTGAGTTGCGGTAACTTGGTTCTGAAAGATGAAAGCCCACGTGGTGTTTTCAGAACACGGAGAGATAATAAAGACTGTGCTTGCTAGGATGAACCGGTGAGTTTTACTCATTCTAAGTACCAGGGCCTGTGCTTTTGGGGACTTTGAGAAATCTTCCCCAGAATTTTTAGTGCAAAGCTGAAAGATTGAGTCAGATTTGAAGTGTGTGGTAGCTCCGGTGGCTCAGCAATATCAGCTTAGTTCTTTTCATTTTGTTTCCAGTGAGGCTGGCCTTGGTTGGGGTGGGCTGGGTTGGGCAAGAGGTGCCCTCTGTTCAGCCTGATAAGCCTTGCGCTTGAACGAGGCAGCCTCTAAGGTTTTTGAAGAGTTGAATCTTTCATATTTCTAGCGACTGGAGGGAAAAAGAAGAAAGACTTTGCTCAGACCACAGGTGCCTGTTTAAGTTTCATCCGGGAGGCCCTGCTGAAGCACCAGTGGCAGCAGGCCGCCGAGTACATGCACAGCTACCTGCAGATCCTGGAGGATTTTGACAGCAACCAGAGGCAAACAGCGCCAGAGGTGAGCAGCTGGGAGAGTGAGCATCCGGGAGGCTGCCTCCAGGTCCACCCGCAGGGCTTTTGGGGGGGTCTCAGAGTGGCTCGCCGAAAGCTGCTGAGAGTAATCTTGTGGGGAGAGTTTGTGACAGGACACTTTTTTACCTGCTTCTTTTTACCTGTTATTTTAACAGGGCCCATAGAGTCTGAACTCTGGATTCTTGGATCCCCGATATTAATTTAGTCCAGTAATTCTTCCTACCCCCCATCCATGGGATATTTTCCATCCTCAAACAAAAATGTTGTTAATTCTATGTTAGAATCATCTTTCGATGCCTACTTCTTCCTCAGGCTTTGTGTCTGTTTTTCACCCTCCCTTTCAGCAAAACTCTTTGAAAGAATTGTTCTCTTCCTTTACACAGAGTGATCTGCTTTTTGTTTGCTTTGCAGTACTGGGGATGGAACTCAGGAGCTTGTGCTTGCCAGGCAGACTGCGGCACCACTGAGCTACATCCCTGGCCCTGTTTTTTGTTTTGTTAACAGTTTTATCAAGACATAATTTACAAGCACATCATGTAGTTCGCTCACTGAAAGTGTACAATTTAATTTTCTAAATGTTTTCACTGAATTGTGCGACCCATACCATCGTCTAAATTTAGGATATTTCTGTCCTCCAGATTCTGTCACCAAAGTTTGTATCTGAGGAGAAAATATTTTTATTAAAATTTGTCCAGTCTGATGAAAATTCTCTCTCTCTCTCTTTTTTTATTTTTTGGGGTACAGGGTATGGAACCCAGGGCCTTGACACTGAGCTACATCCCAATCCTGTGACTTTTGATTTTGAGACAGGGTATGGCTAAATCACTCCGTTGCCCTGGCTAGGCTGGAAGTCATCCTGCCTCAGCTTCCCGGACCTGGTCTTGTGGGAAATTCCCGCACGGGTGCTCTCAGTACAGGAGAGATGTGAGCCTGTCGCTGGGGTCTCAGGAGAGTCCAGGCTGTGGTCTTGGTTTGTGGAGGGGAGGATGGGGCTGAGAGAGGGAACAAAGCCAGCGTTCCTGGAACCTGAGTTTTCCGACTTACTGTCCTGATTTGAAGTTTTATATTTACTATTATTCTGTTATATTGTTTCTATAACAGATTTTATTATTGCTATATCGTTATTATCATTGTTATTAATCTATTTGTATTTATTATTCTGCTCACTGTAGCCCAGGCTGCCCTTGAACTGTCAGCCATCATCCTGCCTCAGCCTCCCGAGTGCTGGGATTATAGGCGTGCACCACTATGCCTGCCTATAAGTTTTATATTCAATATGTATATTCATTACGTGCCTTTTTAAAATTGCTAATTTAATGGTACTATTATACTTAGCATTTTTACTATTTTATGTTTTATTTATTTTGTGTTTTTGATACAGGGTCCAACAAACCTGTTAAGGTTGGCCTTGAGCTCACTTTGTCGCCCAGGCTGGCCTCGAACTCACAGTGATCTCCTGCCTTAGCCTCCCGAGTGCTGGGATTGCAGGCGTGTGCCATGACACCTTGCTTTACCTGGTAGTTTGTTTTTTTTTCTTCTGTACCGGAGATTGAACTCAGGACCTTGGTCTTACAAGGCAGGTGCGGTGCCACTGAGCTGAATCCCTAGCCCACCTGGTAGTTTTAAATTAATTCAAATGGTTGAGAAGATTTTATTATATAGTATGTGATGTAATCCTTTTTTTTTTTTTTTTGGTACTGAGGATCGAACTCAGGACCTTATGCTTATGAGGCAGGTGGCGGAACCACAGAGCTAAATCCGCAGCCCTGTAGTACCAGTTTTACTTTATAAACTACTGTAAAATATTGATAGTAATGGTCTCTCAGAAAAAGAATTATAGGTTGTTTTTCAATGTTTTAATCTGAAAAAATGTTCGAATCCTTACATTTTGGTAGTATTTTCTTGTTTGACAGATCATATGGAAGCTTGGAAGCGAAATTCTATTTTATCACCCCAAAAGCAGCGTGGAGACTTTCAACACCTTTGCAGACCAGATGAAGAACATTGGCGTCTTGAACTATTTGAAGGTGAGCGGAGGCTTTCTGACTGTGAGGTGTGGTCCGCACCCGAAGTGCTTGTGTCCATGACAAGTGGGCAGTGATGGAAAAGGGAGGGCTGAGACAGCTGAATGAACTTGATCTCCATTCCTTCTGTCGCCTGTTACGTTGGTTTTCTCCATTTGCCCGATGTTGGCTTGTTTTCCTCTGGCCTTTGTGAATCGTCTCACTGACTACAGGCGTGCAGGCCTCTTAGTGAGCACTCCAGTTCCCTGGGTGTCTCCCTGGCGGCGGGGTGGCTAGGCTGATACTCACGCCCTGCTCACGATTGTGCCTTGAGTGCTCTAGGGAACCACCAGGCTGTGCTCCACATGGCTGGAGCTTCCCGATGTCCGGAGCAGTTTCCGTTTAGAATTGGTTTGGGGTCTGACTAATTAGCTGAGGGAAGAGTTCTGGGGTGTGCACTTAGGAACAAGGCGATCTTGACCTCTGCTGGGCCGGGCAGCTGTGGGGAGAATTAAATGGGGCGACTGTGGTTCCTCGGGAGGAGGAGCTTCCTGACCAGACAAGTGGAAGGAGGCGTGGCCTCCTGCACACTGTGTGCGCCTCATCTTTCTTCTTTTCAGAAAGAAGCTGGGTAGCCATTTGATGAGGAGAAGGGGTGGAATTTTAAGGAACTAAGTGGTTAGGCCTCTCCTGGCTCATAGAATCTGCCCAGTAGAAGTAAGGAAACGAGGGAATCTCATTTCTTGCTCCAGAACCTGAGGCACTGGTTGGGATAAGCAGTGAAACGTGCTTTATTGTTAACCATTTTGAAAGCACTTGTTTTCCGGGCAGTGTGCCCCTGTGGTTCTTGCAGTGAGGGTCCGTAGGTGGAACCGTGTTGTGGGGGCCCTGGTAGGGCCGCAGGGGAGTAGGCCTGGCCCGGGCCCATGCCGGGAGTGTGGGTCTTACCCTGTAGGCCGTGGGCACCATCAAAGGATTTTACCCGGATGACTAACCAGGTGAGGCTTCTTTGGTTGCTGCATGGAAGGTGGATCCAGGGCGGGTGGAGAGGCCAGCTGAGAAATTCCCGCAGCAGTTTGCGCTGAGAGTCGTAGACTTCGTGGTCCGACTCTTCCTGTACCTTTAGTTGCACTTGCCCTGTTCTACCCTCCTGTGCTCATCTTTGAGTGTTTCATTTTATTGCTTCTCCTGTTCCTGGTATACAGTTTCCACCTGAATTCAAGCCATTCTTCAGCACCTCTTATTCAGATGTTTTCTCTGAGCTTATGTGACATATATTAAATAATTACTGATTTTCCACTGTTGGCCAAACTAGGCATTAAGTATGGTGCAAAATTATCTGAATGAACCCTCGACAGCACCCTTCTGGAGGGTTAGTGACACTTGTCTCATGTAGCTGGTGAGGCTCACACAAGGTGAATAAACTCAACTTATTTGCTTTTAAGTGGGAAACATTTGTTTTTCTTTTTTACTGTCTTCTGTTGGCAAGTTGACATTATTTAGCCCTCATTTACATAATGTTAGTTGTGTCGAGGATCCTTTGCTGGACTCACATGTTGCCGGGGACAGCGCCACATGTTTTGTGTCCTGCTGTGACTCAAGCCTTGTAGACCTTGTGTTTCCTGAGCTGTGGGTCGCGGTGATCTGATGACTAGTGACAGTGGGCCCCTCCTTGTTACTGGTGCAGATCTCCTTACAGCACGCGCTGTACCTCATTCACTGCGGGAAGCTGGAGGAGGCGAGCAGAAATCTCAGTCAGGCAGAGACGTGGAGATACGGGGAGAAGTCATCCTCCCAGGAGATGCTGATCAACCTGGCGCAGGCCTATAAGGGGCTCTTGGAATATTTCAGTTGGTCTAAAAAGAAGATGGAATTGTCAAAGCTTGGTGAGTGAACCTGAGTGGACTTTATCCTTTTTTTCTATTTATTTACTTATTAATAAATTTTGTTTTATTCTATCCTACTTCCCCTCTCAAGTCCCCTCTCCTCCCTGTGTATAAAAACTTTGTTTCCATTTTTTCCTTCTATTTTCCCTTTTTTTCTTGTCCCTTCCCTTCTCCCTCTGTCCTCACATATTCCCCTTCCCATTTGAACACTTTCTTCCCATTTCCCAGCATCCATTATACATTTCAGTCCTTATTTCCACTTTTGGTTTCTCACATGAGAAAATGTGTCCCATTTATTTCACTGAAGAGTATGGACTCAAGGTCCATCCTTCTAGTTATAAATGTCTAAAGCTCATCCTTCTTTATGGGAGAGTAGTACTCCATTGTATAAAAAACCCACATCTTTATCCACTCGTGTGTTGATGGGCAGTTGGGCTGTTTCCAAATTACAAACTGTGCTGTTATCAACGTGGGTGTGCATATTTCACTGTGATATGATGCTCTTAATTCTTTTGGGAAGATACCAAGAAGAGGTATAGTTGGGTCAAATGGAACCCCTAGTTTTAGCTTTTTGAGGAATTTCCACACTGATTGGTAGTGGTTGCACCAGTCTACACTCCCACCAGCAGTGGAGCAGGGTTTCTTTTACCCCACAGCCCCTCCAGCATTTGTTATTGGTTGATTTCTTGATAGCAGCCATTCCTTCTGGGGTGAGGTGGAATCTCAGCGTTTTAATTTGCATCTGTCGAATGACCAGTGATGTTGAACATTTTTTCATATGTTTATTTGCTGTTTCTAATTCTTCATCTGAGAAGTGTCTTTATTTCAGATGCCCATTTTTGCTTTGGGTCTAAATTTGGGAGGTCTGATTTTTTTGAGTTCTTTACATACTCTAGATAATAATCCTTTATCTGAATAGCTGGTAAAAATTGTTTTCCCACATTGTAGGTTGTGTCTTCACTCTGTTGGTGGTTTCTCTTGCAGTGCAAAAGCTTTTTAATAAGATAAGGTCCCAGTTGTTAATTCTTTGTAGTAATTCCCATGCAGTCTGGGATTTGTGAACTTTGTTCTTTAGAAACTGAAGGACAAAAGGCATCTTAAGGCAAAGCCCAGTTATCTCCCTGCTGACTTCATCCAGATGGTGTAGAGAACAGGCATTTTATTGGCTTTAAATTCTTGGTCATCCTTTATATTTCTTTTGAGACAGGGTCTTGCTGTGTAGTTGAGGCTTGTCCTGAATTCTCTGTGTAGCCCAGGCTGGCCTCGAACTCATGGCAGCTTGCCTGCCTCAGCCTCCTGAGTGCTGGAATTAGAGGCTTTCGCCACCTCACCTGGCATCCTTTATAATTCTGATACATCAAAAACCTTTCAGTCATAAATTAGGTGGTTCACTTCTTAAGTTGATGGCCATTTTAGATGCTTGGCTTTTCTTCACATGATTTTGTCAAAGATTTCTGCACATTCATCAGAGCAGTGGAAATGGATTCTATTCAGGAACTACAACAGTAAGGGGGGGAGCTGAGCTCTGTTCTGATTGGTGCAGTTGACAGCTTTCAGGGTGAAGAAAGGGCCACAGTGGCTTGGGCAAGGCCGCAAGTGAGAAGGTGCAAAAGCAGAAGGGAGGTGGTTGTGCGAGCCACCTGTCTTTCCTGGGTGGCCTGTGGGTGTTGGGCAGTGTCTTGGTCAGTTTCTTGGCGCTGAGACGCAATACGCCCGCAGCTCTAGGATGGAGAGGTCTGCTTTGGCTCACAGTCTGTAGAGGTTTCGGTCCATAGTTGGCTGGCTCTGGGGCTGGGCGGCATGGCAGAGGGCATCGCAGAGGAGAAACAGTCCCTGTCAGGGCAGGGCAAGCAGTGAGGTCAAGGGAGAAGGGGAAGAGAGCCTTCCAGGCCACAGCCCCGCCTAAGTGCCTGAGGCTGTGCAGGGCGTCTGGCGGGGGGGCCCTTCCAGGCACTGACTCAGGGCCGTGGCTGAGGCCGCCGTGTCCAGATCCGGGTCCGGGTCCGGTCCGTGTCCGTCCTCGTCCTGCACCTTGCCTGGCACAGGCAGCGGTTCTGGCAGCGCCATTTCCTCAGGCAGCCATGGCAAGGGGCTGGGGTCAGCTGGGCGGTGGCCGTGGGCTGTCAGCTGGTGGACGTCAGCTGGTGGACTTTCCCTGTCTGCAGGCGGGGGTGGTGGGTGAGCCTTGTCCTGAGGGCCCCCAGGAGCCTGGCTGGAGTTTGCTCAAGGGGCGACTCTGCCAGTTTCCAGGAAAGGTCGCACCATGTCTTTAGCAGCTGTTACTGCACGTGATCAGCCTTGCTCCCCTGTGCTCAGAATGACGTCTCTTTGATAGTACTGTTCGGCAGAATGATACCCACCTAAAGAGTAGGGCGAGGTAAAGTGGCTCCATTTCTGTGTGAAGTCCATTCCTTGCCCCTCACCCTGCAGTGCTGCTGTGGCCCTCCTGCTCCCACGTCAACGTTTTCTGGAGCTGTGAGATTCACTGCGCTTTTGCCTTTCATTTTCCGTGGTCCCCTCTCTAGGACAAGCCCGTTTCCATGCCTTTCATCCGAATCCTAGTGTTGGCTTTTGTCAGCACTCCTGTGGTGAGCTCGAGCGCTTGTGCTTACGTGGTTGGTGGCGTTTCCTGGTTCGCTGGGCACCGGTCACGGTTCTCGTCCCTCCTGTCTGTGGTCTCTCCCTTCCCCTCTGCGAGCGAGGTCTTTGCAGCCTTGTCCCCTAGAAAACCCTCCGCCAGTAGGACTCAGCACCTCACTCCTAATACCTTACTTGTGGCATACTGTTTCTTTATTCAAAAAGGCTTACTCATACTAATTTACTGGGTTTTAAAGCCAGCATTTGCTTTTCTTCTTACATGTGGTCAGGTAGGACTCACACAGATCCTTGGCTGAGCGCAGCTGGACATGGCATTGTGACTGCCACTCCCATGGTGGGGCCTTCAGTACCTGTGCAGCTGGCACTCGGTTCTGCTGCAGCGAGAGGCGGACGGGGTAATGTGTGGCGCTTAGTAGAAGGTCTTCAGCCCCAGACGCCTGTTACAGGAAGTCAGGCCTGGCCCGTAGATGCAGGCTCGGGCCACCTGTGTGCTGGCCTGGACTTTGCCTTGCTCTGTGGCTGTCTCCGTGTGTGTCATGCACCTCCTTTTCCTTCAAACCCAGTTAACACTTAGGGACCTGCTTTTTTTCTTTAACATTTTCCCCACATCATATCTATTCTCCCTGTGCTTCATTTCCAAGTCTGTATTGATAGGTACTCAGTTGATCCACTGGGAGAAGATAAACTGATGCTTCTCAGGGTTTGAGATTCCTGATGAGCATCTGCCGGCTGTTTCGGACAGCTGGGGCTGAGTTCTTTTCCTTTTAAACCTTTAAGGTTGTGAAATAAAACATACAGAAAAAATGCAAGAACTTTTTGTTTTGTTTTGATACCGGGGATAGAACTCAGGACCTTGCACTTGCAAGGCAGGAGGCGGTGCCACTGAGCTAAATCCCCGGCCCCTATATAGAAAAAAAGATGTGGAACAAATACAAGGAACACACTTAAAATGAACAGCCCGGAACCCCCACCAGACTTAAGGGACACAGCATTTATACCCAAGTGCTAAGATTTTTGGTGCTTCTGGAAATGTAATTGTTTTCCTGATTTCATTTTTTAATGGATGGACCTTGTACTTTTTTAAGTGGATTCTTAGGATTTTCTATTTACAGGATCATATTATCTGCATAGAGATAATTGTGCTTCTTCCTTTCAAACCAGATGTCTTTTCTGTTGTTTTCTCGTTTAATTGCTCTGGTCGAAACCTGTGGCATAATGAATAGAAGCAGCGAGAGAGGAGGACCTCTTTGCCTTGTTCCTGATTGGAGGGGAAAAGCATGTAGTCTTTCCTTATCAGGTTTGATGGTAGCTGTGGGTTTTTCATGAATGTCCTACATCAGATTGAGGAAGCCTCTTCTATTCCCAGATTGTGGAGTGTTTTCATCATGAAGCTTTGTTGAGTTTTTTCAGCTGCTTTTTCTGCATCTGTGGAGATAATCCTGTAATTTTTGTCCTTTATCCTATTGGTTTGGGTTAGATCAATAGATCTTTGTCCTGTTCCTTGTATGAATTGATTTTCAACTATTAAGCCAGCCTTGGCCTCCTGAAATAGATCTCATGTGAGCAGTGTATGTAATTTTTTTATATGTGGCTGGACTCATTTTTGCTTGTCTTACTGGGGAATATTGTGTCTGTATCCTGAAGAGAGACCTGTAGGTTTTTGTGTTTTATTGTCTGCTTTTGATGTCAGGGTAGCACTGACCTCATAGAGTAAGTTGAGTTATTCCTTTCCATTCTTACTTTGGGAAGAGTTTGTAAAGAGTTAGTATTTTTCTTTGCATGTTTATTGGCATTCACCAGTGAGCCATCAGGACCTGAGCTTTTTATTTGGGTCTTCTGATTACTCATTTAATAGGTCCTCAACATTGAGTGACTTTTAAATATCATTTATCTTTTGGCAGATAAGGATGATTATGCTTATAGCACAGAAGCCCGAAATATATTCAGCCACAGCTGGAAAACATCTGTAAATTTTAGTGCACTGATTAAAACTCCTGGAGTTTGGGACCCTTTTGTGAAGAGTTACGTAGAGGTAAGTCGGCTTCTCATCAAACCATATCAGTTTCATTTAGTCCTAGACCTATGCAAACTCTTCCTGCCTGGTTTTGTTGAGCAGAAGGAAACCTGGAGAGAAAATTATACAAACAGAATGAAACAAAGACCGAAAATAGAGACAGAAGTATGATGTGTCTCTTTTTTTTGATGTGAAGAATTTCTGTTTACTATACTGTCAGTGTTCCTCTTGTCTATTTTCACCGTTGGATAACCTCCCTTGGTCACATGCCTATAAAATAAACAGCAGTATAATTTTTATTTATTTATTTGATTTTGTACCGGGGATCGAACTCGGCACAGCACCATGCACTTGTAAGGCAGGCGGCGGAACCGCTGAGCTAACTCCCCGGCCCTGAACAACAGTATAATTTTAAATGTCAGTTCTATATTGTTCTTGTGGAGCTGAAAAGAAAAAGAGATCTTTGTGATTTGGTGGGACACAGAGCGGGTGTGGACAGAGATCTGAAACCAGCTCACAGACGTGGGCTGTAGAGTCAGGCCTTGGAAAGCTCCTAAAGACGTCCTTTCATGTCAGAGCCACTGTCAAGGGACGGGGCCCTCAGGCCTGGACATTGGGAGGAAATCTTCAGAGTGCCTCACTTTCTGAAAACTTATGAGCACTAAAGTGGTAATGGTGTCGTCAGCGGTAATCTCCAGAGCCACATCCTGATTTGCCCAGGAAGGCCCGTGTCACAGTGGCTGCACCATGGCGTATGCCCCTTTGCGGGCTGACGTTAGGCCGGGTGCTGAGGTCACTTGCCTTGGTTCCCTTTCCTTTAGGGCTTTTGTTTCTTGTGGAGCAGTTGGTAGGTGAAGTCCCACATTTTCCGATAACAGCATAGTGAGCTGCAGTGGACCCCAGGGCCTTGTGAGCTATCCTCTTCCATGGCTGCTGTGACATGCCTATGGAGGTGGAGATAGCGCGAACTCTGTCCCTCTACAGCCCCATTTGTCGGTTCTGTGATTTTTTTTTTTGTGCCCAGTAGTGTTAAAGTTGTGATTTTTTTATAGTTGTCTTAAAGAATTCAGCTAAGATATTGTAGCTTATCTTACACAGATGCTGGAATTCTATGGTGACCGAGACGGAGCCCGAAAGGTGCTCACCAGCTACGCATATGATGAAAAGTTCCCTTCAAACCCGAATGCCCACATCTACTTGTACAACTTTCTAAAGAGAGAGAAGGCACCAAGAGCGAAACTGCTAAGTGTGCTTAAGGTATGGACAGCTGATTTGTGTTGCATAGGACTGCGGCTCCCTGTTTGGACGTGCTTAGGTTGTTGCTTTCCAGACAGCGTGTGACTGGTGCCCTCGGGCTGCTGCGTCTGCAGGCTGTAGGGGACCCTGCTTCAGGGACCCCCTTGCCTGGCTCTGGTGGGCAAGTTCTGCCTTGGGTTTTTGTGAAAACCAGCCCCCAAGTGTGTGCTTGGATGCGTTAACAGACAGCCACTTCCCCCAGGATGTGCAACCTTCTGTCACCTCCCAAGCCCCTCATTTCCCCGAGCAACTGGCAATCACTGGCCTGTTTTTTGTTGCTGTAGGTTAATTTTACATTTTCTGGACTTTCATACAAATTTAATCTCTCAGCTTTTAGTTTTTAAATCTGGCTTCTCTGGCGCAGCACAATGCTTTCAGTTCCACCTGCGATGTCGGGTTTGGTAACTTACTACGTTGTGTCGTGTTCTGTGTTTATACGTAGACTTCTTGACCAACATTTTGGCCTATTTTCACTTTTTGACTATTACAAATAATCCTGCTAAGAAAATTCACATATCGGGGGCTGGGGATTTAGCTCAGTGGTTCTGGTGCCTGCCTCGCAAGCGTACGGTTCCAAGTTCGATCCCTGGTACCCCCCGCAAAAAAAAAAATTCACATATATGTCTTTCATGGCCACATGCATTTTCATTTTTCTTGAGTAGCTGCCCAAGAGTGGAGTTGCTGGGTAAGGAAAGTTCATGTTGAACTTCTTGAGAAACTTCCCAGTGGCTCACTGAAGTGCCTATACCGTGGACACCCTCACCGTCTGTCTCTCCACCCTCTCACCAACGTGATATTGTTGCTCGTTTTGCACTACAGCCATTCTAGTGGCTGCGTAGGAGCATCTCACTGTGGCTTTTATGTGAATTTCCTAATGACACAGGTTGAGCATCCTTTAATGTCTGTTGGCTCTTCTTGTATCTTCTTCTTCTTTTTTTTTTTTTAAAGGGGGAAAGGTTTATTTGGCTTACAGTTCAAAGAGGTTTCATAGTCAGCTGGCTCCAAGACAGGGTGGTGTGGTACACAGGGCTTGGAGAGATAACAGTTCATGGCAGCCAGAAGGTAACAGAAGCAACAAGGAACCTTAACAGTGTCTTTCTGCCCCTTTTATCTTATTCAGACTCCTCGGATTTGGGTGGTGCCAAAGCAGTCACTGTGTAGTGGTTTAGTAATCACACATCCTTACTCCTAGCATCACGCACTCTAGATTCAGCCACCTATGACCGAATGAGGCTTTGTGGGGACATCTAAACACAAGCCATAACGTTCCGTCCTTGGTCCCCAAAGACTCATGCATATCCCTTTATGCAAAAAATCATTTCATCCATCTGCAAGAGTTGCCAAAAGTCCTAACAGGTTTCAGCATTGCTGAAAAGTTCAAGTCCCAAGCCTCCTCTAAGACTTAAGGTAAATTCTTAGCTGCAAGCCCCTGTGCCGATGAAAAGAAAGTTAAACACTTCCAACATTCAGTGGCACAAGATAGATGTTTCCATTCCAAAAATTACAGCGAGGAGAATACAAAGGAATGGGAACAAAGCAAGTCCAAAGTCGAGCAGGGCAAACATTAAATCCCTCAGTTCCATGTGCAGCATCCCTGGCAATCTGTGGCAAGTTGTGAGCCCCAAAGGGCTTGGGTGGCTCCACCCCAGTGGCACTGCCAGTGGTTGTAGCTCCCATGGGTTCTTCCCTGTGCTGGCTCTGTTCCCTCCTTGCGGTTTTCCTCAGATGATCCTTGGTCCTGGCTTCTCCGTACTTCTGAGGTCTTCACTGCACTCTTGGCTGCACACTTGGAGCTTCACACAGCCCTCTCAGAGGCACTGCCCGGCCTCCCAGGCCTCCTGAAAGAAGAGTGGAAGCCTTCCTGACCCCCAACTCTTCCATTCTTCATGGGCCTAAAACCAATGCCACATAAATGATGCCAAGGTCTGCTACCAGCTGGAGCAGTAGCCAGGCTTCTCTCTCTTGCTGTAGAGGTCAAGTGCATGGATTGATGAGCACTCTGACTCCAATTCCAAGGAGCAAATTCTCTAGGCTGCCACCATTATGTAACGTGGTGTTCTGGGGCATTCTTCTCAAAGCAAAGTCTTTCACTCTTGCAATTTTGAGGATGGAAACAGTAGAGTCCTGCTGCTGCTTGTGATGCCCTCAGGCCATCTTTTCTATTCTCTTGTCCCTTCTTAGCAATCAGGATCTCTGCTCTGTCTTTGCAGCCCATAGCTTCCTTTCTGACCAAACTCAAAACATACATCATTCTGCTGAGCTCATTGCTCTTGATTCTTAACACAAATCTGGCTTAAAGCCCCCACACCTCAACATTTGACTGCCTTGAAATTTCTTCTGCCAGATTAATTAGCCTGACACCCTTAACTCAGTCTCAGGCAAAATCTCTGGACAAGAGCAAAATGCAGACAAATTTTCTGCCAAGGCGTAATACACAACGTCTGGAGTCCCACAGCCTTCTTCCTAGCAGCAACCTGAGCCTGGTCTTACCAGCTTTCTGGTCTTCTGAGCTCTGACCAGAATCTCCCATACAAAATAGCCTAAGGCATTCCAGCTCTGCTTCTTCAGCTGCAATCTCCAAACCTTTCCTAGCTCTTCTTCCCACAAGCCAGTTCCAAAAGGCTTTTGAGCCACATAGCCAGGTAGTGTCATAGCAGTGACCCCACATCTCTGGACCAAATTCTGTATTAGTTACTTTTCTTTCGTTTTTGAGACAAAATACCTGCACCCAAAGTTAAAGGGGGAAAGGTTTGTTTGGCTCACAGTTCAAAGAGATTTCAGTCCACAGTCAGCTGGCTCCCAGGAAGGGTAACAGGGCAGACAGGTCTTGCAGGGGAGAAACAGTCCATGGCAGCCAGAAGGTAACAAAAGCAACAGGGGCACTTTTATCTTTTTTTGTTAAATGTCTGTTCACATATTTTGTGTGTCTTATTAAGGGAGGGGGGAGTTCCTTATCTTCTTCCTGATATGGGAGATTGTATATAATCTAGACACCGTTTCAGGTATATGGACTATAACTTTTCTCTCCAATTGTTGCTTGCCTTTTTTCCTTTATTTTATTTATCTTTCTTTTTTTGGTACCAGGGATCAAACTTGGGACCTTGTGCTTGCGAGGCAGGTGGTGGAACCACTGAGCTAAATCCCTGGCTTGCCTTTTTTATCTGTCTTTTTGTTTCTTGTCTTTTTGGTGCTGAGGATCAAACCTAGGGCCTTGGGCATGCATTCTACGGCTGAGCTACAATTTCAGCCTCTTTCTAGAGTTTTCTTAACTACCAGTGTCTTTCACAGAGCAGAAATTTCTAATTTTGATGAAGTTCAAATTATGCATTTTTTTCTTCTATTATTAGTGCTTTTTAAGCCAATAAATCTTTGCATTACCTCAAGATAATAAAGATTGTGTTTTTCCTTGAAGTGTTATGTAGCTCTTTATGTTAAATTCTGTGATAGATTTTTAGCACACACATATATAATTCATGTATGTATTTCTGTATGTGAAGTGTAAGACTCAATCTTAATGTTTTCCCCGTTTATTGAAAAGACTGCCCTTCCCTCTTGGAACCTTTGTTGTAAATCATCTGGCCACATATGAACTCTCCCAGGGCTTTCATACTGAGCTACATGCCCAGCCCTTTATGTTTCCTTTTATTTTTTGAGATAGGGTCTTGCTAAGTTGCCCAGGTTGGGCTCAGACTTGCGATCCTCCTGCTGTGGCCTTCTGAGTAGCTGGGGCTTACAAGTGTGTGCCACCACACCTGGCTTAGTCCTTCCTGTTCTTAAAAAGAAAAACCTTTAAATTTTTTCCTGTTGTATGAAAGGATCGTTGGAATATTTGCCCCCATACCCTGTTGTACTGTGTTCCTGAGTACAGTCTCCAAAGTTATCTCTGCTTTTTGAGATTTTGTTGCATGTAAATATTCCGTGATCTCTCGTAATCAATAAATATTTTTTCTGTGTGGTTAAGTCCAGCTTCTGAAAGTAAATTACTTAAAAATTTTAAGTGTGGACAGATGTGTGTAAGACACAAATGAAAAGTATCCATCTATTTCCTCCAATAGTCCTATCACGTTGGCAGGATTTTTAAAAATAGCTTTATAGAACATAGCTTGCTATACTCAAAGCCAGATTAAAAGCAAAGTATCTTTTAAATCCTTGATTTCATTTATAAGAACATTTTAGCCAGTGAGAACTTTATTTGCAAGTTAGCTGAAATTTGAGAAATATCTTTACAGTGTGTAAATTACAAGATTAATCTTTCTTCCAGATTTTGTATCAGATTGTACCATCTCATAAACTGATGTTAGAATTCCATATGCTACTTAGAAAATCAGGTAAACCATTTTTGTTTTATCCCTCTTTGTGCAGATAGCGGTAGTCCAGGGATCCGCAGGCGATGCCACCTCTGCCAGTTTCTAGAAACCACATGGGATTGGCAGCCGTGCACCGGGGCCCTGTCCCTAGCTGGTTCTGTGCTGGGACAGCAGTGCTGCGGCTGTCACAGGCGCAGAGGGCCTTGCAGAGCGTAGAGCATTCACTGTCTGGCCCTCAGCAAAAGTGTTTGCCTACCCTACTAAAGAGCACTAGGCAGTAGTTAGCAAAAGACAGTGGCTCCCCTTTCTGTAATTTGCCTCATTTAATCCCTCCTGGGCTTCGGCTCAGTAAAGAAAAGAACACGCTTCTTAAAAGTAAGTCAGCTTGCTGGGCCCCCTTGGTACAAAGACTGTGTAGGCTCCACTCCTAAAAGAAATGCATGTATCAAAACTGCCCAAATAGGGCAAGTATTTTAAATATTGTTCTCAGTTGGACAAAAATGGAGGGTCAGACTCACCGCCTTGACTTCAGTTAGTGTGAAGTATGTCACTGATTCTTCAGATTCATCACAGTGTAATGAATTGTTCTAAACTGTGAACCAGACCAGAAGGCTTACAATTTAGTACTGTTTTATCAACTGCACGTGTCTTTTTAGCTCTGTGCATTTCTTCAATACCGTATGTAAACCTGAACTGTTCACGACTGTTGCAGAAAAAGAGGAACACCATAAACTGGGATTGGAAGTGTTATTTGGGCTCCTGGATTTTGCTGGATGCACTAAGAACATAACTGCTTGGAAATATTTGGCAAGCTATCTGAGACAGATTTTAATGGAGTAAGTAGGAGACACTGCATTTATTCCCGAATCATAATTTCCCCATGTTTTAGCTAACAGCAATTTTCTTAAAAAGCTTTTTTACTTATGTCTTTGGCTTTCTTGAGCTGTATCTTTAGCTGTTTTCTTCTGAGTATGTCAGAAGCTAGAAAACACAACCCTAAGCTTATCATAAGAAATTCTATCCAGATAGTTAGTGCTATCAAAATAAATGTCACACTTGTCTGTTGTGAGCTGAGTATTTAAAACTCAGTTTCTTTTTTTTTTTTGGTACCGGGGATCGAACTTGGGACCTTGTGCTTTCGAGGCAGGCACCAGAACCACTGAGCTAAATGCCCAGCCCTGAGTATTTACTAGTTTTTTTTGGTACCGGAGATTGAACTCGGGACCTTGTGCTTTTAAGGCAGGCGATGGAACCACTGAGCTAAATCCCCGGCCCAACCCTGAGTATTTAAAACTGCACCTCCGCCAGGCATGGTGGCGCATGTCTCTAATCCCTGTACTTGGGAGGCTGAGGCAGGAGGATCACTGTGATTTTGATACCAGCCTGGGCTACACAGAGAGTTCAAGTCCAGCCTGAAGTGCATGGCAAGGCCTTGTCTCAAAAAGAAAAAACAAAACTGCACCTGTGACCATAATATCATTAGAGCCACATTTTGAGTAAAAGAAAAGGGGTGGCTTCTACTCTCATCTTGTGTATGAGAGGAAAGATTATCACAAGATTAAATTTTACTTCATTTTATGTCCATTTGAGTTGGTTAGGAAATCCGTTGTCAGTGGAAACCATCCTCACTCTTACCTTTCCATGAATTCCAGTAAATTCAGATTCTGGCAGGACAGATTTGTCCCCATCTCTGAGCTTCCCTTCTGACGTGTTTCTCTTCCAGGAATCGTGTTGCATGGGTCCAGGAAGAGTGGAAGTCCAGGAGGAACTGGTGGCCAGCCTTCCATTTCAGCTACTTTTGGGCAAAAAGTGATTGGAAGGAAGATAAAGATTTGGCTTATGAGAAAGCACTGGTAGCTGGAATGTTATTAGGAAAAGGTGGGTGTTTTTGTGTTCATTGTATTAAATGGAGCTTTTGATGTAGCTTTGATGTAGCTTTTGGCGGATGATGAAATTACAAAATCCGACTGTGTGTTCACTTTAGAGCTTACTTAATGTGGAGCCTGTGGGTTCCAGATGCTTGAGAACTAGCTTGTCTTAGTAATTTTCTCATCACTTGGACAGAATGCTCAATACTCACAAATAATAGGAGAGGAGGCTTATTTTGGCTCATGTTTCAGTCCATGGTGGGCTGCTCCAAGGAAGAAATGGCAGAGTGACGGCCTGAGCAGAGGAGAGCTGCTCACATCATGGCAGCCAGGAAGGAGAGAGAGAGTGGAGGAGCTGGGAGGAAGACGAGCCCTTCCAGTTGCCCCCCAGTGACCACCTCTTCTGATCAGACCCCACCTCCTAACAGCAAGTCAGCTGTAGCACCCCATGATTCAGTCACCTTCAAAAAGCTCCACCTGTGAGCACCTGCTGCCTTTGGGAGTCATTCTTGATCAAAACCACAGCATTCTACCCCAGCCCCCAAAAGACTTGTGTGCATCTCTTTTATGCTAAATGCATTTAGTCCATGTCTTAAGAGTTGCCAGCCAGGTGTGTTGCACGCCTGTAATCCCAGTACTTGGAAGGCTGAGGCAGGAGGATCACCATGAGTTCAACGCCAGCCTAAACTACACAGTGAGAACCTGTCTCAAAAAAAAAAGTTGCCAAAGTCCTAATAGATCCAGCATTGTTGAATAGACCAACTCCAAAGTCTCCTCTGAGACTCAAGGCACACTCTCTTAGCTGTGAACTTGTTTAAAAATCAGAAGGATAGCGCTGAGGTACAGTGGCGCAGGGTAAACACTCCCATTCCAGAAAGGAGGAATAGGGGACAGAAAGGAATTGGACCCAGACAAGACCAAAGACCAGCAGAGCAAACGTTAAGTCCCGTAGTTAATGCTAAGCATCCAGAGCAAGTTGTGGCCAGGAGATAGGAACTCCAAAGGCCTTGGACCATCCTGCTCCTCCTACAGCATTGCCAGCTGCAGCCCTCACTGTCTCTCTGTTGGGCTAACTGGTCACTGCCTGGAGCTTTCTTCAGCAAACATCCACATCCCTGATTCTCCAGCTTCCTGGGGTCTCCACTGAACTTGCAGCCTCATTCACGACTTCACACACTGCCCTCTTGAGGACACGCTGGCCGGCTGCCAGGGCTTCTTCTGAAATCTTGTTGGAAGCTTCCCTGATCCCACAGCTCTTACATTCTATATCTCTGTGAAACCAGTCCCATTGGATGATGCCGGCTCTGCTGCTAGCTTGAGCAGTAGCTGTGTCTCCTTGGAGAATGGCTGCAGAGGCCTCTGAGTGCCTGATGGCTGAACCTTGTGATGGGAATTCTGGGGGAACCTAGATAGCCCTTCTCAAGCAGGGTGACCTGGGACTCACTTCTCAAGGGAAAGCTGTATAGCTTAGCAGCCTTGAGCCTCTCACAGGTGGTGTCTTGTGGATTTCTCAGATCCCCTCAAGGTATCTTTCCTATTGTCCTGATGCAAAGTACTTGGCTTCTTTTTATGCTTATCTTTTTAGCAACCAACCTGACCTGGGCCAGAACTTTATAGTCCTCAACTTTACAGGTGCTTTCTTTCTGCCCTCCAGCAGAATTTTTCAAATTATTCCACGGTAATGTTGGTCTGCTTCTCCCGGTAGACATGGCTAAAAGCATCCAGCAGTGTCCGTGTCACAGCTTCAGCTCCACATTGGGCTGCCTTGACATTGCTTCTGCCAGAATTAGTCTACTGCCCTGAATCTCAGTCTCCTGTGAAGTCTCAGACCATGAACAAAATGTAGACAAATTTTTTGCCAGAGCATGACATACGTGATCTTGAATCCAAATGGCAGTGGAACCCTGTTCCCAGCGGAAACGTCCTGAGCCTGGCTTTTATTGTTTGCATTCATTCCTGTCAATGTTCTGGTGCTCTGCACTCTGACCAGAATCTCCCATCATGCTTGGCTTCAGCATTCTAGGGCTTCTCTAGCCAGATCCCCAAACCTTTCCAAACTACCCCCAAAAAACAGTTCCAGAAGCTTCTGAACCACATGCTGAGGTAGTCACAGCAATTACCCCACTTTTCTGGTCCCTTAATCTGTCTTTGTCACTCCTCCAACTATGGGACGAAATACCTGACACCCACAGCTGAAAGGGGGAGGAGTTTGTTTTTTTCACCACTGAATATCTCTTTTTAAGTAATTTAGCTAGCAAAATAGAACTGACAACAAAACAAGTTAACATGGTTTGATAGGAGAAACTTATTATTTTGACTCACATTTCAGTTCATAGTCAGCAGGCTCCAAGGCAGGAAGGGCCTGGATGGAGGAGCGTTGCTCATAGCATGGCGACCAGGAAGCAGAGTGAGAACGGAGGAGCTAGGGAAGGAGATGAGCCCTTCCAGGCCACGGCCCTCCAGCCAGGCCCCTGCTAACAGCAGATCAGCTATAGTGCCCCATGATCTGCAAGCCCTGCCGTGAGCCCTGTGGGCACCTTTTTTTTGGTACTGGGGATCGAACTTGGGACCTTGCGCTTGTGAGGCAGGCTGTGGAACCACTGAGCTAAATCCCCGGCCCTGGGCACATTCTTGATCTAAACCGTGTGTCGCTGCTGAATGGACGAAGGACCCAGTGGGGATAGGTCTGCTTGTCAGGGCTCCCCGTGGGCAGAGGCAGTGATTCCACATTGCTGGTTGTGACCCGCTGTCGCGCTCTGACTTGGCTCCACCGTGTGAGCCATCCTGACACTGAATGACCACTGGGCCTCGCTGGGCAAAGAGTTTACCAGGACTACTTTACTAAAAGTACAGAAATGTTCTTTAATGTCCTCTTTGCTCTTTAATATTCTCTGTTGTGTTTACTTATCTATTCCTGCAAGGAGGAAGCATTTTCTCCCCTTAAGATAAAAAACAGAACCGTGCCACCTACTGGCCTCTCAAAGTCTTCTTAAAGAAGAGATTAATTTTTTTTTTTTTGTGGTACCAGGGATCAAACTCAGGACCTTGCACTTGCCAGGCAGGTGTGGCGCCACTAAGCCACATCCCTGCCCCTGCTGTTTTTAAAATAGAATATTTTGTTCAGTAAAACTTACCTGGTTTGTGCCTTTGAAATATTGAAGGGTATCCATTGCTGAAACGAAACTGCCACAAAATGTGTCCAGAAGTGAAGACAGTAACCCTTCCCCTGACCACTCAGAAGCACTGAGGGGTAGACTAGAAACCAAAGTCCATGCCTTTGTTCTGATGGACTGGAAGTGCCTCTGTGCAGGAAGCGCTACGTCCCTGGTTCCAGCCCTCGGAACCTGCGAGGCCCTTAGTGTAGACAGCACAGATAAATCATTTCCAGTCATTAGCAGGCTGGAGTGGAGGAACAGTTGCGAAAATGTAGGAGTGTACTTTAAATAGCTGATGAGTATTGAAACGTTTTGCTTTTTTTTTTTTTTTTTTTTTAGGTTATAGGTATTTTCGATATATTTTAAAACAAGACCATCATGACCTAAGGAAGAAAATTAAGCAGATGAAGAAATCAGTGAAGAAATACAGCATTGTAAAACCAGCAGTATGATATTAAATTTCAGTTATTTTCCACTTGTAGCCACAGAGTGGTAGCTCAGTAGATAGTTACTGAATTTATTTATTTGATGTTGTAAAAGAAGGGAGTTTATATGACTATAAACATTATTTTTGTACTTTTTATATTTATTTTCTTGTCAGTTAAAGCTCAAAAATAGCTCATTTCCCTTGCTCTTTGTAACTATAGTTTTTCTTTTTTGTAATGTTAAATGTACTATTTTTAAAGATGATTCTTCAGATGAAAAAAAATTATTTAATTGGAAAATATAGTTGTACAGCAGTTACTGTTTACAGGTGACTTCCCTCATGCTCTTGTGTAATAAAATATAGAACGTATACTGGTGTGAAATGAATTTGTTCTCCTTTTAGATTCTCATTGACTCGTGTTTGGTTTTCCACCGTGAAGGAGAGTATCAGTGAGTTCTGGGAGGAGGCTTCGAAAGAGCTGGGTTCAGGAGAGGCCCCTGGCCGAGAAGGACCTGCGTCCGTGCCTCATGTGGCTCCGGGGCAGGCAGCAACTTCCGGCCGCACTGGCTCTCGGCCAGGGTTGCCTGGCACATGCGCTGGAACTCACGCGGCGTCCCCTCCTCTTGGAAGCAAGAACACAGACCAGAGTTTCATGGGCTTATATTTCTCCTAATTTTAAATCATCTGCAAGAAAATCAGGGGATGAATCATGCTTATTAGTAATTCATATCTCAGTGTTGCTTCACACTTTTAAGTAAGAGGTCTTAGCGAAGTTGTATCCAGCCTTGTACCACACACAAGAAACAAGTCCGAGTTCCCCAGAGCCTGAGGGACCCACGCCAGCACTGCAGCACGAACAGGGCAGCTGTTCCGCTGGGAGTGGCCGGGCGGGCTCTGGGAGTCCACGTAAGTTCAGCAGTACAGGAATGCGATCCCAGCATAGGCCGGGAGCCGCCTGTCCTCTCTCTTCAGTAAAAGCTGTAAACCAGGACTCAGTCCCAATGACCTCTGGAGAATGGAGGTGGGAGAGCATCGAGTGGGCGTGGCTCCTGGCTTCCACCAAAGCTTCCTTTCCTGGGATTTTTGTGCCAGGTGTCCGTCTCTGACTTCAGTCAGACCAGTGCAACCACCACGGAAATGATTCTGGGCTCCTGAAGTGAAAGAAAACCAGTTCTGAGGGGAATAACGGGGGCCAGCACTCCTCACACACTTGGGGCTTTACATTCCTTCATGTCACCCACATTTCTGGCTAATCCCTGTGTCCCGAGGAAAGGGGTCCTGGGATGGAGTAACTTGCAGAGACCCCATCCCGGCAGCCAGTTCTGAGGTGCCGCACCCAGGTGCCCAGTGGGCCTCCCAGGGAGTTCACCACAGGCGAAGGGAGACGGGGTGGGGGCGGGGGTCCTCCACCCAGTGGCCACCAGTCAGCTTGCACGCGTCCTCTCCCTGCTCCGCCCTGTGGCCCTGCAGCCGCATGGAGCCACCACGTGTGCATCCTGCTCCCTCACTAGCATGTTACCTAGGCTTCCGTCTCCACCTGCCACAGCTCGTGGGATTTCTGGCTTATGATGTCGTCACTGAATGAATGCACCTGAACACAGATTATGAGGAAGGAATACCTTGACAAGGGAGACCGCTGGGTTTCTCTGGTGCTTGTGTGATATCTTCTGTAGAATGGAGACAGTTGGGTTTATCTCACTGGACTGCTGTGAACAAAAGACGTTTAATGACTAGGATAACAGTGCTGATAAATGTTAACTGCGAAGAAACCATCCATCATGACAACATTAACATACTGTAACGGAGACTAGATACAGACTTTTCTGTCCTCTGCTGTCTCCTGGAAACCTCTGAATGGATACAGTGGAGATGGAGACATTTTGATGTATTTATACACTGAACCAATCAGTCTGGCCAGCAAGATATCTGTTACTTCTGTGTAGGGACCATCGTGTTGTGTTTGGAGCTGTGTGTACATATGGTGAGATTCAGACCACAGGTGTGTGGTGCAGTATTGTCACTACCATGTGTACATTGTTATTTCTCCACAAATCCCTCATGTTGCATATACTGGAGCTGGTATCATTTGCACCTTTCCCTGTCCCAGTACCTGGCAGTCACCAGTCTCCCTGGCTTCTGAGAGTTTGGCAGTTTTAGGTCCCAAGAGTGAGACCACGTGGTTTCTCTGTGTCTCTCTCAGCCGAATGTCCTTCATGCTCATTTCTTTTGTTGCAAACGCAGGATTACCTTCTTTTCTATGACCAAATAGTACACAATATCTTGTTTTCTGTATGCAGGAACCTGGCAGAGCATTTCGGTGGCTGCTTTTCTTGGCTGTTGTGAGCAAGAAGTACAGGTAGCTTCGATCCGATTTCGGTTCCTTTGGACATGTAGCCAGATGGTTCTGGTTTTAGTGTTCCCGTGCTGTTTTCAGTAATGAGTTTGCCACGCCATGTTCCCATCAGCTGTGTGCAACGGCTCCCTTTTCTCCACATCCACAGTAACACTTGTTTTGTCTTTCAGGTGGTAGCCAGCTAATAGATGTGAGTAGAAAATCATTATGGGTTTGGTTTGCATTGCCCTGGTGTTTGGAGGTACTTAGCTCCTTTTCATATACCCATTAGCTATTAGAGTTTCTTCCAGAAGTGTGTGCTTAGGCCCTTTGCCCATTTTTAAAAAGGTTAAATGTGTTTTTGGTATTGAGTCGTATAGATTCCTCATATATTTTGGATATTAACACATTGTTGGATCAATTGTTTGTTTTGTTTGTTTTTTTGGTACCAGGGATCGAACTCGGGTCCTTGTGCTTGCACAGCAGGCGGTGAAACCACTGAGCTAAATCCCTGGCCCTGTTGGATCAGTTGTGTCATGCGTGAATTCCATCTCACCAAAGTTGTAACCAACAGTTTACAGCTTTATAGCTTCTTAGAGCCATCAAATAAGGGTCCACTGTTACTCGGTCCCACAAGAAATATGAACCCAGACCTTCTGTGTGTTGTCTCTGTAAACATCTCAAAAAACAAAACAAAAACCCCCAAAAGTGCTCTGGAGCCAGAAAGGCCTGAGTTCAAATCCCAGCATGCCTGGGCACCCTACCCAACAGGTATCTTACTCTGTAAAGTGGGATGATCTAAAAGGCAGCTATAGTGCTTAGCACAGCTCCGCATATGATTTTTTTTCAGTAAATGGTAACATTACTCTAACAGTTAAAAAGAGAGAAAGGAAACTAAAAGGAAATTAAGGAAAGCCATGACATTCTTTGATAAAAGGAGAAAGTGCACACTTTGGGCCCAGCTAATTGTCCGTATTTGTAGCATACAGGCTTTTTCTGTGTGGTGATTAGAACATCTTTATCTTAAATATTCCAAAAGGAAACAGGCAAGGCCCTTGGTGGATGTGGCCTGCAAATTCCATGCCCCACATCTGAGTAAGTTATTTAAATAAAAAACGTTCAGAACTGCTCCTCTCCCTATTCGTGCTCTGAGAAGAAACATTTGGCCACGAAGCGAGAACCACGGTTGCTCAGTCCCACCAGGGACAGGGACCCAGATCTGCGCTGTCTCCATGAATGCACGTCTGGCCCAGACGAGGACGTCAACTTGTGTGCTCCCACCAGTCCCGGTGATGTCCTATGCCAAGGACGCAGACGAGTTTGTCCAGGAGCCGCACGCTCAGCCCCGAGCTGTCTGCATCTGGCGGAGGCAGCACTGCTGCTGACCATGGGATGCAGAGCTCCGCTGCAGCTCCCAACCCGAGTTCCTTCAGGTGCAAGGCCTCGGCTTCCTCTCTCACTCCCCTCTCTGTCTGCACACCTTGCTGACCTAGAATTGTGCACACCAAATGAGGGAAAGTGCGAGGAGACCCTTCCTGAACAGCAGCACACTGCAAGGAGAGTCCCGCTCACCACCTCGAGCTGCTGTCTGCTGCAGAGGCCTGTGTGAGCCCCTGCCAAGCTGGAGCAGTGCTCGTGTCTGTCCCACCCCACAACCCTTGTCTAGGTGACCGCCAGACTCTGCTCCCATCCAGACGCACAGAGGAGCCAGCTGTGTGAGCCGCAGGTGTGACCGGGTGTGCACCCCAGAAGTGTGGACGTGCTGGCTCCTTGGCTCAGAACGCGACCTTCTTTGGAGAGTCTTCATGGAGAAATCGAGTCACAGTGTGGTCATGGCGGTGGCCCTCATCCACATGACCGGTGTGCCTAGCAAGAGGGGACATCGGACTCAGGGCTGGGAGAGAGTGGGAACACAAGGACGGACAGCATGGCATCTAAAAGCCGTGTGGTGCAGATGGTGGCTAGAGACCTCCGCAGCCGGGAGGGAGCCCAGAGCCGTCTCCTGCAGGGCCCCAGGGGGACCAGCCCGGTGACACTGACCCAGAGCTTGGGTCCCCAGACCTGAGAGACGATGCACTTCCATTGTTCAAGCCACCCACTTGGCTATGGCAGCCTGCAAACCCAAGCAGTCAGTGAAACAATCCTGTGTGCTTCAAAATTGTCGCCCCGGGACTGCAGAGCGCAGCCTGTTCCCGCCTCCGTTCCAGTTACTGCCCACGGGCAGCCAGGCTGGCAAGGCTGCTTCTGCTCTCTTCCCGTGCACCTTGGAGCCTCCCCTGAGATTTCCTGGGTCCCCTCCACCTGACACACCTCTCGGTCCTGGAGCCCCAGCGGCAGTGATGCTAACAGGAGTGGCCTTGTGCCAGTGGGCACGATTCTATCCTTAGCACACAGACTGAAGAAGTTCATCTTATGGATCAGTTTTCCAGAGGACATTCCTCTCCCAGCGTCATGCTTTGCGCATGTGCACAGTTCCTGACCTAACTCCTCGCATCTATGTAAAAAGATTGCATAATTGTTATATGATCCACATTGTGCAGTTTATCTGAAATGCTGCATAGCCCGCCTGAAATGTGCCCTGTTCAGGAGTGCATGGTGTCTCTGATGAGCTGCAGCCCGCTGACCTCTCTGCTAATCCTGCAAGGACTTTTGGGTCCAAACCATAAGGTCTCTGTATTTTTCATGGCCGAAGTAAAACAGACATAATGCCAATAAAAGAGCAAAAAGTACACTCAGGTCCTTCACAGAACAAGAGAACGCACTCATTCTTACCTACTGGGGCAGGTGGTGCCCCCTGTTTCCAGGAAGGCCCTGGGGGCTTTGAGGCCGGCTGAAGTCAGCCCAGTGTTTCCAGTGTGCTCTGAGCGCGGAGCCAAGGGCTCAGTGGAAACTGCAGTCCGGGGACTCACGGGCACCGTGCGGGGGCTGGGGCCGAGCTTAGCGGGAGAGCGCTTGCCAAAGTGAGGTGCTGTAAACCAACAAACACATCAGTTAAAAGCAGCATTCAACCAGGCACCGTGCAGAACAGAACAGGGGAAAGAAGGGGTGTGTCACAGCAACTCAGCCACTTGTGCCCCACTCTTCCTCAGCTGTGAAGACACTTTGCAGCGCTGTTTGGCCATGTGTCATCCCCAGCACAGAGCACACACAGGCTTGGCTGGGTCCAGACTCCTCCTCCTTCTTGGGGACATGTGGCCCAGGCTGCCTGGCGGTGGGGGCAGAGTCAATTGGGGAGCCCTTCTTGGAAGAAGAAAGTTGGATTTCATCTGCATTTCAAAGGGAAGGCTTTGCCAGCAAGGTAATTTCATGGTGGCTGGAACCGTGGAGGATACTGAGGGTGGAGGGAGCTCAGGAACCTGTCCCCAGCTGGCACCTTGGGCTGGGGCTGAGTTCAGGACTCTGTGCTCTAGTCCATGCATTCAAAGAATGTTTATCAGAGACCTGTGACATGTGAGGGACGTGCGTAAAGCCAAGCACTCTTAGCTGCACACGTGGGGCACAGACTAAGTGAGGAGGCGGCCGCCCTAGGGCAGGTGCAGATGAGGCACCAATGAGGGACCCGGTCACGGTGCGCCTCCTGTCTGCATGCGCCCTCAGGCTCCCTGTTGCAGCATACTGGCCAGTGTGGGGCCCGTGGAGTGGTGTGTGGTCAGCCTTCTTCACTGTATCAGACATGGGGACTCAGTAAGTGGAAAGGTTGGCTTTGGAGGTTGCAGGCCGTGTCCATGTGAACCCCTTACTTTGGGCTCCTGAGTCAGTTGGTCCTGCTGGGGCCTGCACGACCTCTGGCCAAGTGTCCAGTCAAGGCCACGCCCCCAGTGACCTCACTTCCCTAAGCTCCTCCTCCTAATGTCTCCCCACCTCCTAGCAGCACCCTGGTGTCCAGGCCTTGGGGGGCACTATGGACTCCAGCTAGAGGTGCTGGCGTGCAGCTCCGGGGGGGCGAGCGCTTGCTTAGCAGGCAGGAGGCGCTGGATCAGTCTCAGCTCCCACAGAGAAGAGGGGAGCCTTGTACCAGCAAGGAGCCACATACATGTGGCCCTGAAAGCTGAGGTTTGGCTCTGGACAACAGAGGAGAGCCACATCACGATTTTATACAGACAAAAGCAAGTTTATAGTGAAAGCACAGCAGATAGGAGCATAGTCCAGTGACACACTACTGCGCTAAGAAGGGACAGCACCAAAGAGGGAAGGGAATTTTCCGGGGAAGGATCTAGTACGAGATGGAGCCTTCGGCAGGCGAGAGAGAAAATGCAACTCTGAGCTCTGTCAGTTCCTTAAGTGCTGTATTCAGACTAGTGGCTTGGGGCCGACAGGCCTGCATGGTTGAAAGGGATCGCTCCCAGCCTGGGCTAGGGCCTGGGAAGGGTCCGGTGTGCGTGCGTGCATGCGTGTAAAACTTATCTCTATATCGTCCTTCCGCAGGAGAAGCCAGCCTCCCTAGAGAAGGGCGCGAGAGCCAGTGCCACTCAGCGCACACATGCATTTCTGACTCCACTTCCAGGCCTTCCCTGACAAGGCCTTGGGAGCAATAGGCCCATCAGGGGCTTGAGGGATGGGTTTGTCTCCATCTGTCCCTTCCACCATGGGAGCATGCAGCCAAAAGTTGTGGTCCTTGCGCTCCTGGGCAGTGAGAGGGAAATGTCTATTATTTACGAATTGTCCGGGGTGAGGAATTTCTCAGCAGCATGGACTAAGACACGGTCTCCTCCTCTGGCTGCTCTCCTGGCCCGGCCCCTGCTGTGGATGTGGGCGCTGTTAGCAGTCCCCGGCCTCCCACCCACATGCCCTCCTGTGCCAGCACCGTGCAGCACTCCTGCCTCTTGCCAGCCCCTCGGCCTGAGCTCCCCAGTCTGCAGCCTGAGACTGGTGACATGGCCCTGGCCCTCAACCTGCAAACCTGGTAAACCTGTGGATGCCCCCCTCCTGGCAGGAACTCTGGGCCATTGCAAGGAATCCCAGCAACTCTCACCTTTCGGCCCAGCACCTGGGTGCCCCAGGACTCAGCGCCGGCTGAGACTCGTGCCAGCCCCAGGGGCCACTGCCCAGCTGCCTCCTCAGCTCATGTGGGGCGGGGCTGGCGGCAGAGGGAAGGCAGAGCATGGGTTGGTGGGAGGAGCGAGGAGGGATCCTGGGCAGAGCAGGGCGCCAACCCAAGCCAACAGCTGCCTCTGAGGCGGAGATGTCCAGTGTGCCTGCTTCCAGCCCTTGCGGTGCCTGGGGTTGCCGGGCCCCTGCTCCTCCCTGGCACCTCCCGTCTCTGCCTCATGTTCTTGTTGGGCCAGGCAGGCTTGCAGCAGGGACACCCCCAGTGCCTGGATTATGGGGCCCCCTTCTGGAGCCCTGTGCACCTCGAGTTCTGCTCTGACTACTGGTCCTTCGGGTGTTGTGATTAGCACAAGGACCGCCGCATCACTGGGCGGTACAAGGACATCCTGAGCCACCTCGACCTGCAGGGCCACACACATCCTGTGCCAGGCAGGCCGAGCGCAGCCTGGGAGGAGAGGCGCTGGCACACACTCCGAGGTTTTCAGGGGCTGTGTAGGGAGGGTGTGGGCAGCCCCGGGGTCCAAGCTTGGCCCTGGGCGGCCGGCACCCCTGGTGTGACAGGGGTGGGACCAGGGGTTGGGGTCCTCCCAGGGTCCCATCTGCCCAGCCCTGCAGTGCAGGGCTGAGGCGCTGCCAAGGGACAGCGACTCAGTTTCAGCTCCTACGGGCTCAAAAGCCACAGCCCCAGGGTGTTGTGGCTGAGCCCGGTGGAGAAGGCGGCGCAGACTCAGTGCAGAGGGCAGGGGCGCAAGGGTGCGTGGCCCTGTGTCCGGGTCCTGGCTGGCCTCTGGGGCCAGCCCTTCGTCTCGTCATACCTCCCTCTGCCGTGGTCCCGAGTGCTGGCCACCTCAGATCCCTGCAGAGCTGACTGGGCTCCAGTGAGCCACACGGGGCCTGTGCTGTCCCCTGCACTGCTCCCTGGGGAGTGACTGGGGGAACCAGCTAGGGGAGGGGGCCAGCTTCCACCAGCAACACAAGGCCAGTGCCCCCCGCCCCGGAAACGGCCCCTGCTCAGCTCCCCCCCCCGGCAACACTGAGCAGCTCTCCTGTTTCAGGGATTGAGGAATGAGAATAATTTTAGCAACCAACCTGACTGTGTCTTTTGTTCAAGTCCACAAGGCCCCTTTCCTTCCCCGTGTCGTGGCGGGTCCCCAGCCCACATTCTGCAGGCAGGAACTGGGACTCTGGGCTCACTGCAATCAGGAGTTTCAGATGACTTGTCCGAGGCCAGATGGTACTGCGCACAAATCTCCACGCTTGGAGTCCAGGCCTCAGGGCCTTTCGATCAGTCACAGCACATCCCAGGCCAGTCCTGTGTGGAGTACTATAGTGGATGGCATAGCACAGTACAGTGTATAGTATAGTACAATGTGTCGTGTAGTGTAGCATAGCAGAGTGCAGCATAATAAAGTTCAGTATTACATAGTAAATTATATAGCATAGCATAGCTTTAGAAAGTATACTATATAGTATAGCGTATCATAGCACAGTAAGGTATGGTAGAGTAGTAGAGTAAGGTACAGTATAGTATAGTAAAGTACGTAGTATAATATATAGTATAGCATCTCAAATACAGTATGGCCTAGGATAGTAATCGTATGTAGCCCAGCAAAGGCTAGTCTAGTCAAGCATAGAAGTATAATATAGTAAAGCATATGTCAGTGGTGGTGAGCCTTTGGGAGCTTTCAGTGATAACAAACAGCTGGCTGCAGCACATGTGCCATAGATTCGCCAGCCCTGGTACATACAGTGGTACCTCGGTTCAGGAACATAATTCTTTCCATGATTCTGATTGCAAACTAGACAAGAACTGAATCAAATTTCCCCATCGGGTCAATATTGAAGCTCCCCACTGAATTGGGCTTGGTTCTCATCTGGTATAGTACAGAGCAGTGCAGTGTACAGTATAGAAAGGAGAGTACAGTACGGGATGGGAAGACGGCTTTCTGAGCTCCAGAGCAGAGGCCGTGAGCCCTTCGAGCCCCTCTGCCCCTGTGCAGACAGCAGCGCCTCGTGCAGGAGAGGCTCAGGTTGCCCCGCAGTGGAGACTGATGGCCCCGGCTTCCGTACCCATAAGGCACGGTGCATTCGCTCACCACTGAGTAGGTGCAGTGGCAGCAGGAGGGTGTCCGGGGCCCGGCCAGGCCCTCTGCTCCCACTGTCCTCCTCACTTCTGCCCCTCCTCCCTTCCCACTCCCCACGAGTGGAAGGTGTCCGTGAGGCACCTGGGTGGGTCGTCTGCTTCTTGTCTTGGCTGGCCAGGCAGCCCAAGGAGACCTCTGAGTAGCTGGGCTCCTTCCTTCCTCTACTGGTGACAGAGTGGCTCTGCAAGCTTTGGTAGGGAGCTCAGGTTCCCAGGAGAACCGCTGCTGGTCTCTGGCAAAGTGAGGAGCTCAGGGTGGGGAGTCTGGGCTGCCCAGGAGCCGGTGCGGGGAGTGTTCTGATCGGAGCCCTGGGCTGGGGCACTGCCTCTGCTCCAGCACCCCAAGAGCTACCCTTTAAACGGGACGTTCCTACTTTCCGAGTCTCAGCTGCCTCTCTCATTGCTGTCTTCTCTCCTACAGACTGCCGTAGTCTAGGGATGTCCCACCGGCAGAGACTCCCTGCCCACCATCCTGTGTATTACAGTGTGCAGCAAGAGCAGTTGTTCTGCTAAGAAGCCACAATTAAAGCAGGCACAGCTCCCGTGGAGAGCTTTGCACGTATGATTAACGAGCACATGAAGACAGTACTGGACACCTGAGCTCCGGGCGTGATGTACCAAATGTCCATTTGTTCATTTATATTGGAATTGTTAAATATTTCAAACATATGGCAAAGCACAGAAAATGGATTAACACCGTCTATCCAAAATCTGGACCTAGCAAATATGACACTTCTGCCACATAGCCTCATATTTGTATGAAGAAATACAATCATGCAGACATGCAGTTTATGAGAAGGGAAACATTCAGAAATTTGATACCATCTTCCTTTAATAAATTCATCTTGAGATACAAGAGTGAGGTGGGTGAGCTGAAAGGTAGAGATGGAATAGTGCATGTGCGAGTGTTTGGCTTTTTCCTGCCCTGCAGCACCATTAACTGGGTGCAGAATTTGGGTCCAAGGGGAGAAGGAGGGATGAGGATCTACCAGTAGCTGGCAGCCAGACCTCCTGACTCCCGCCACGCCCAGCCCATCTCCCCTTTGCTGCCCATGCCAAGCCGCCCCTCTCCCCCAGGAGTGCTCGCCCTGTGCTGCCCGCCTGTGCAGTGCCGAGAGCCCTCAGAAGCCCTCTGCAGCCTGCCGGGCCTCTGCTCTGACTACTGCTCTGCCTTCCTCTCCAGCTGCCGCTCTGCAATCTCCCTGCTCACCAACTACGCGGCCTCCAGTGGCCCCACGACAAAGACGGCACCTGCTTCTGCCACCTGCTCAACCTCCCGGACAAGGGCTACTGCTTCCCCAGTGTACTGAGGAGCCGGCATCTCATCTGCAACCTGGAGGTGGTGGCCAAGGGCCATCGGGGCTACCTGCAGCTCTGCCTCCCGAGGTGGCCAACAGGCTGAGGAACCCGTGTCCATGGTCCACAGCGGGGACGTCACGCATTGCCTCTTTGTGGCCGAGCAGGTGGGAGTGGTGTGGGTCTACCTGCCCGACTCGAGCCACCTGGAGCAGCCGTTCCTGGACCCCAGGAGTGCTGTGCTGACCACGCCGTGGATCAGGGATGAGAGAGGCTTCCTGGGCTTGGCCCTTCATCCCCAGTTCTGTATTTATTACTCACGCCTGGGCAAGATGAAGGCAGAGAAGATCCGCATCAGTGAGATGAAGGTTTCTTAGGCTGGCCCCAACAGAGCAGAACCAAAGTCGGAGAGGTGAGGCCGAGTCATGAGAGCCTGCAGCTGTGTCCCCCATTCAGAGAGGGTCCCAGTCAGCCCTGGTGAGCCCTGGTCAGTCTGGCGGAAGGCGGAGAGGGAGCTCAGGCTTTGGAGCATTGCCTTCCAATGTGGAGGAAAGTCACTGCTGATTAATGCGCACAGCCCAGGTTAGAGCCCCTACCCCGTCTTTGCAATTCAGTGGTTTTTAATACATTCAGAGTGGTGCAGCCATTATCATAATTGATTTTAGAAAATTTCCGTCGCCCCATAGAGAAACTGCCTATGTGTCACCCTCTAGCCCCAGCCCCAGGGTAGCCTCTTGGGGTGCAGTCACCCCCACAACGCCCCATCAGAGCCTGCTTGATTCTCAGAGGTGAGCAAGATGGACAGCTGTGGGGCCTGAGAAACGATCACAGATGATACCAATGCAGTGGGTGTAATGGCAGCCTCCAGGTGCGGGTGGCCCTTCCACCCCAGGGCCTGTGCCTTGCATGCAGGGTTTCTCACCCGGTGGGAGCTGTGGCACCAGGCCACAGAGCTGTCTAGGCCCACGCAGGTGAGGACTCTGCCACCTGCCTTTCCCTTCTCCTTCCGCCTGGCCTCCTCTCCCAGCAGACAGGCGAAGGAAGGGCAGAGTGAGTGTGAGCGACTAACCCTGCTGAGGTGTCACGGGAAGCGAGGGCGCCCCCTGGCTGTGCTTCCAGTCCCGAAGTTGGGTGTTGGCAGAAATGGTCCAAGGAGGAGTTCTGTCACGAAGCCAGGTGACCAGAGTGCCAAGCCACTCGTGTTTCTATCCTCGGGGAGGCTGAAGCAGAGCTCGAGGCTTGGACTGTCACTGTGGGTGTCCCCAGGGGGCAGCTCGCTGAGTCAGGGTTATGCCTCGTTCCCTTTTCTTGCCCAGGGTCATCTTGAAGATAGAAGAGCCGGCCTCCAGTCACAATGGTGGACAGCTGCTCTTTGACCTGGGCGGCTATCTGTCCACATTCACGGGGGGACGGGGGCAGGCCGGGGACCCCTTTGGGAAGTTTGGAAATGCTCAGAACAAGCGAGCAGGAAGCTCTTGGAGGGAGCCCTTAGAAGTGGAGGAAGGAGTCAGATCTGAGACTGAGTCAGATCCAGGCCCCTTACCGCAAGATAGCGTCCCCTCTGTTGAGGCCAATGAGAAGAATTGTTTTGAATGTGGTCTATACCAGGTCAAGTTTTCTTCTATTCCTGGTCTGTTCAGAGTTTGTATTAGGTATGGATGTTGGGTTTTGTCAAATGTTTTTTGCATCTATTTAGAAAAATATGTGTTTTTTTTTTTCATTTTGGTGAGTTAAATAGCATTATTTTGTTAAAGAAATCTTGTATTTCTGGTCAGGATGTACCAACCTTTTCACATATTGTAGAATTTGCTTTGCTAAGATGATGTTTGGAATATTTTGCATCTGAGTTCATGGAAGGATCGTGGGCTGGAGTGTTCCTGTCTTGTAATATCTTTGTCAGGCCTTGGCGTCTGGATGATGTGGATTTCAGAGAGCAAGGTGAGCAGCCTGCGCCTTCTCAAATATCTAGAGGAGCTTGGATAGAGTGCATGGTATTCCCGCCTTCTGTGTTTTCTATCTCTAAGGAAAGCCAGCTGAGGCTGAGATATTCTTTGTGCAAAGAGTTTTAACTCTAAATTCAATTTATTTCATAGGTATAAGCTATCCCATTTATCTATTTCTTCCTGAGTGAGCCTCAGTAGTCTGAGTCTTTTAAGGAGTTTGTCCAACTCACCTAAGTCGCCAAACCTACTGGTATCTACTTGTTCATAATTATTATCTTTTCCAGAGCTACAGAAACTATCATTATGTTACTTCGTTACCCATCTTACTCTAGATATTGTTCTCTCTCATTTTCTTAGAAGTTTATCAGTTTTATTGATCTTCTGTAAGTACCAGCTGTTGAGTTCATTGATATTTTTTCTTTTTCTTTTTCTGTTTCCTGTTTCATTGACATATACTCCATTCCTTCCTTTTTCTTGTGTTAGGTTTAGTTTGTTCTAGTTGTAGCATTTGAAGGTGGAAGCTGAGGTCATTGATCTGAGATCTTTCATTTTTTAATCTGTGTGTTTAGTGCTATAAATTTTACCTTAAGTATTGCTTTGGGAGCATCATATGCATTTTGATACATGGTGTTCGAGTTTTTATTTAGTTAAAGTGTGTCTTTCTTCTGTCATGTCTCACCAGCCGTTCATCCCATCAGGTGACTTTTTTTTTCAACTCTCAATCGTATCTGTCACTTTTAAAGATATGATTTTGGTCTTTTTTTATGTCTCCTATATGTCTACTTAACTTTCTGATCATATGGGATATCATCATAATCACTATGTTAATGTTGTTGCCTGCTGACTTTAATACCTGTTCCAGTTGCGTGACAGTTTTGTTAGACTGTTTTATTCTTCATAATGGGTTATGTTTTCTTCCTCCTTTACTTGCCTACTAAATTTTAACTGGATGCCAGGAACCATTCATTTAAATTTGTAGTGGTAGATGTTTTGGTGTTGCTAGACAGAGTTGAGTCCCTTGGAAACAGCTTGGCCCTCCCTAGTCTGCTGTTAATATGTACGGAGCAGGACTGAAGAGGTGACCTCATCTCTCCATCCCCCTACTCGGGCGAGACTTCCTCAGGAGCCTCGATGCCCTGGGATTGCTGACACCACTCTGAGCCCTCGTGAGCGCCAGGGACTTCCCCTGTTTCTCTCCTGGCTGTTGGCTGGACTTCATTCTCTGTATCATCCTCTCTCTGACCTCTGTCCTGCAAATGCTTCGAGCCTCGATCTCCTTGGACTCAGCTCTGTGTTGTGGGCCCTGGGACCCCGCCGGGCGCTGCCTGTGTCTCCTCACCAGGGAACAATCTTAGGATTCCCTGGTTCAGGTCCCATCTCTCAGGGAACACACCCCTGCACTGCCTGATCTGAGCTGTCTTTTAAACCTCTCTTATTCTATTTTGCAGGCTTTTGACTAAGGGGGGAGCGTGACTCTAGTCCCCAGTCTCACCATAGTTAGGAGGGATGTAGGTATTCTCATCCTTCAATTCTTGATTGTGGGTGATATAGAGTTAATAATTGTTGAGGTCCTTTATTGTCACGTATTAGATCTTTGAGATTTCATTTATCTTTACTCCTCCCCCACCCATAAATATCACATGGTTGATGTGATCCCTTGGGCTGGGGCCGCAGGGCTCACTCTACGAATTTGTTGACCCATCCAGGTGAGATTTGGTGTCATTTTCTTCTCAGGTGATCTCCACTTTGGGGCGCCCCAGGAATGATATGCCACGATTGGGCAAACACATCTGTGCTCCAGATGCAAAGCAGTCTGGGCAAACAGATGTGTGGCGGGCGTGTCTCGAGGGCCGTGCCCTACTGGAGAAAAGTCTCCCTGTAGTTGGCAGTGAGGGTGCCCTTCTGGCCCCTCGACTCCTGTTTTTGACACGTTTCTGCCAGCTTGAACCAGAGGTGACGCAGACATGACTGTCCCCTTGGGGTGCTGGAGCCGCTGTTGGTACAGGTGGGACAGCCATGCACAGGACAGTCACGCAGCAATCACTAGTGGTTCAAGCCGCTCAGCAGCAAGACACGAATTACGGCCCTGTCGTGACCGTGCTGAAAACTGCTGTGTACCTGTCCGTCTGGGGTATCTGGGCAGCAGCTGTACAGCTCTGGCCACCCTGGTGACTACGCTGCTCCATCTCCAGGTCTTGGCTGTCGGCTGGCCTGGGTCTCCCTGGACCCTTTCTGCCAGCCTGATCCCAGGCTAATCGTCCTCCTGCAGAGCAGCCGGGCCCAGTCCGTTGCTACCACGAGGATGTTGGTCTGTGGCCACTTCCTGCCGCAGGGCGGGGAGACTGGGCCCCCACTGGTTTATCCGGGATTCTTGCCCAAGGTGGAAGGGCTGGGACTGAGCTTGCAGAGGGACCCCGAGGGATGCCTCCTCCTCCAGGGCGGATGGCACACGGGCCCAGCACTGCCTGCCAAGGCCGGACTCTGGGTTGTGCTCTCAGAAGTGCCCGGAAGTGGTTGTTCGGAGCCTGGGCCCATGGGCACTGTGGATAGGGAGAGTGGGCTAGGAGTGAACCTGGCTGGGCTGGCCCTGCCCTGCCCTGCCCTGTGCCACCTCCCGTGCTCAGAGGTCCTAGAGCGTCCCAGCAGTGACGATGCCAGGCAGGAGCTCCATTCTTTCCACATATGGGCTTCCTCCTCGAACCTTCCCTTCTGGGCAGCTTCCCCGTTTGGGGAAGGTGAACAGCTACACCCACGGAGGGAAAGGAGGGTGGGACATCTCGCAGGAGGACCTTCCCCGCCATGTGCTGACCCTGTGGGAGGCTGGGCTTGCAGCTCCAGTGGGGCTGGCAGAGTCCCAAGGTGGCCCAGCCTCATCTTCAGCCGAGGAGCCGAGAGTCACAGCAGCACCCACCATGCCACCGGGAGAGGCTTGGGAGGGGGTCACCGGGCTCCCCGGAGGGCTCAGTGCGGTGGTCATTGCTGCGAGTCAGTGTTTCCAGCTGCAGGGGACCAGCCCTGCCCTGGCTGCTCACGAAGCCCGTGCTGCACTAAGCGTGGCCCTGCCTGCAGCTTCCCCTCCTGTCCTTGCCCTTTCTGCTTCCCCACTTTCCACAGAGGTGCTGGACACTGGTGGAGACCAGGACCCAGAGCCTGGGTTGGACTCGTGGCTTTGCCACTGACTCACCTGCAACCTGGAGCCTGTGCCTTAGCCTCTATGCACCTCGGCTTTCCTCCTGTAAAGCGGGGTGACGTCGGCCCTACCTCGTGGGGGGCTCTGAGCACTCTGAGTCGATGTTTCTGAAGTGTTTAGTACAGAGCCCAGCATCACACAGTGCTCTGCACACAGAGACTGACTACTCCCTGGGTGGATGAAGATCGGGAGAGAGTTAGAGCAGGGGAGGGAAGGCAGAGGGCCAGTGGGGTCCAGCTCCATGCTGTGTCCTGGGGGAGCTGTCAGCTCCCAGTCCCTTTACTTCAGAAACTCACCTCGGGCCAGAGAGCAGGGGCAGGGTGTGCAGGTGGAGGTGGGCAGAATGCAGAGCCGGGTGCTGAGCTTCTGAGGGAATTTTGTTCCTGTGCCTCCACCACGATCAGCACCACCACCCTCACCTCCTCTGTCGCCTCTGCCCCCCCATCTACTGAGCCCTGGCTGACCCTATTCCCCACGCTTTTAAATAAAACCTCACTCCTTTTCAATCACACCGTGCGCCTGGCACACAGTTCTCAATTTACCTGCGCCTTCTCCCTGCCACATGGGCACTGTTAGTTTTGTATTTCATGGGCCCACAGAGATTGAGACTTGGCAAGGTTTCCTGGGCCCTAGTCCCCAGAATTTGAACCCAGTTCTGCCTGTGCCAGGCCCAGGCCCAACCCCCTTGCCGCCTGTCTCCCAGGGGCTGGAAGGGCCTCAGCTCACAGAGAGGGCCGGCACGGTGCCTGTGACTGCCTGCCTCCCGGGGGGTGGGCTTCCTGTGCCATCCCTCCTGCCTGTGCTTCTTGGCGAGTGCCATGGGGCAGTGAGGACCGAGAGCAGGCGGACCCGGTTCAGGCCACTTGCCAGTGAGTCGGGCTCCGCATCTGCAGCAGGGCGACAGGAGGGGCCAGCAGCTCCCACACTCGCTCGCCGGCCCGCGGGTATTTGTGCTTTCTCGGTGGCCTGCACGCGCTGAGCCCTGGGATGAAGCCAGGCTGGGAATAAGGTCTCTGACCTGTGGGAACGGAGGGAGTGGCCCTGAGGGCCTGGGGTAACGGATGCCCAGGCCAGAGGGAGACCCTAGGGGAGGGGTCTTCCCAGGGGTGGGTGGGGAGGGGGTGGCCGGGAAAGGCTTGAGAGCAGGGGCACTGTCTTCCAGAAATGTGCAGGAGCCACGTCTCTCTGGAGTGAGCCTATGGAAGGGAAGCTGTTTAGATGCAGGCCTATGAGGAGAATTAAAATATATCAATACAAAGAATTTATAGTAAAGACCCCTCATGCATGTTGGGTGTAGTGGTGCACACCCTGTATTCTCGGCTACTTGGAAGGCTGAGGCGGGAGGATCACTTGAGTCTGGGAGTTTGAGTCCAGCCTGGGCAACATAGTGAGACCCTGTGTGTTTTTTGTTTTTTTTTGGTACTGGGGATCGAACTTGGGACCTTGCACTTGTGAGGCAGGCACCGGAACCACGGAGCTAAATCCCCGGCCCCTAGACCCTGTGTTTTAAAACGAAAAGGATCCTTATGCAATTACGAGGCCCCTGGGTGCCACTTCTTCTCTAGCTGCCTTCCAGGACTCAGATGTGCTATGAAGCAGCCCCACCTCCCAGCCACAGTCCTGGACTTGCTGAAGGAGCAGACAGAAGGCTGCTAAGAACTGGTCCAGTGTGGCCTTGTTGCCCAGCCTAGAGCGGGCTTTGGCTCACACAGCTTCCTCCAGGGCGCCAACTCCTCCTTTGAGCAGCAAGGAGGCCTCACAGGAACCTGGGACCAAGAAGAATGCCAGAGTGTGGTCTCCAGGTCCCCAGGAAGAGCCCCAGGGCTGCAGTGGCTTGGGGTGGCAGGGCCTAGAGGGCAGGAGGAGAACTGCCTGCCCTGTGGAAACTGCTGCTGGCCTCAGGAGCCCCAGAGGCTCGGGGAAGCTGGGCAGGCAGAGAGGGCCTGACACGCACAAGGCCTCGGGTGACCTCTCCAGGGGCGCTGCTGTCCCCTGAAGGAATGAACGGCCTGGTTGTGGGCACTGAGAGTGCTTCTGCAGGGTCATGTCCCACACTGCCTCCACGCCTCCCAGTGCCCGAGGTCCCTGTGCTGGCGCATAGGTGCCTACGGCCCAAGATAATAAACTGACACTCGCTGCAGCTGGCACACGTCTGCAGGCTCCGGTTGAGGGTCGGGCATCAGGGAATCTGCCCGCTGCACGCGCTCGCCACAGGATCAGCTCTCCTCTCCCAGCTCAGGCTCAGGAGGAGCTGCAGGGACAGGGATGGGCAACTGGGAGCTCCTCTCAAGCGGCCTCTCTCCCCCCAGCTGAAGCTCAGGAATGGAATAAATGCAGGTTCCTTCCAGGCTCTGGTGCCCACCCGGGCCTTGGCAGCGGCACAGAAACTGTAACTGCCTCCCACTGGGGCACCTCTGATGCCCGAACCCTTCTCGGGACCTCTGCCCTTGCTGCCCGGGTGTCGCCGAGGAAGCCCTGTTGATATTGTTAAGGAAATCGCAGACTTGAGGTTGCAAGACCTGATCGCAGTGACCAGGGAGCAGGGGACAGATCGGCCCATCTGTCCACGAAGCCACCAAGAAGTACCTCGGCTGTGGACCCTGTAGCGAGGACTGGGACCCGTGAGGGGAGGGGTGTTTGTCTCCAGGTTCTCAGACTGCGCAGCTCCACAGCACTGCAGCTGTCTGCGCGGAGAATGGAGGTGCGAAGTGCCAGGGTGGCTGAGGAGGCTTAGGGGGGCCAGGGGCTCTGCCTGGGCTTGGAACAGACCCCTAGACTTCGAAACAGATTCTGCCTTTCTTCTTAGGTGACCTAAGCTCACCCAGGCTACACACATCAAGCTTCTTCGATCCTCCTCCAGTTCTGTTTAAGAAAGAAGCAGAGCGCTGCTTGCCTGTTTCTGAGGACCGCTTTTGGATCACTTCGTCGTTCCCTTTGCCCTTTCCTATAGGCTTTCCCCCAGCCGCCCCTGGCAGCCCTGTGAATACTCTCGCGTCTGGAGATGAGCTGCAGCCTTTGACAAGTTCTGATCTGCTCTCTGTCAGCATCTTGCAGGGAGACATCGCACAGGTGGAGAGGTTAAACCCTGCCCCTTTACTTGAAAGATGGCCTGGTTCAGGGAGTTCGCTGTAACCTCTGCCTTATTTTGCCTGTAAGTCTTCTGTACAGCTCTTTAAATGTATGCTCACAAAGGAGCAGGGCCACTGCCGAGGGAGGGGGACCTGGAAGGCGAGGCCGGGAGGTGTCGTAAGGATGATGAAAAAGCCAGCCCTGTTGTGTTTGTGATTACTGTGCGCAGGCTTGCGTGTAACTTGCTCATGCAGTCCAGGACTGGAAGGGGAAATGCAGAAAAGAAACCGTGGGTTGTCTTGAGAAACCTCCCACGGTGAGCAAGGTGGCCCAAGCCTGGAATCCCAGCACTGGGAGGCTGAGGCAGGGGGATCTCAAGCTCTAGCCCAGCCTGGGCAATTTAGCAACTTAGCGAGACCCTGCCTCAAAATAAAAAATAAAAAGGGCTGGGGACGTAGCTGTGTGAGGGCCCTGGTTCAATTCCCAGTTCCTCCTCCTCCACCACCACCACCACCACCAAACCAAAAACCCTCCGTTCTGTTTCTAGGGCGCATCGCATCAACTTGGGCGTTGCGGGCGTTTGGTTCCTTGAGGAGGTTATTGGTCGTGGTTAATTAGTCGGCGCCCTCTGTGTTCCCAAGGTGCTGAGAGCCGGAGTGACCGGGAGTCTGTGTCCTGCTGCTTCCCTGGTTCTGGTCTGGAACTGGCTGCGGTCCCTCTGTTGAAGGAGCCATTTATGGAGGGCGGGAGGAGGGAGCCTCGGCCCCGCGGTGTCAGCCGATGGCGTCTGCCTCCTTCTCCAGGACCTCATCCTGCAGGACCAGCGCCCCCATCCCGGGAGGCAGAGGCTGGAGGATGGGCTAGGAGGGCACCGGGTCTCACCCTCCTGAGCTGTCCCGGGCGGGCCTGGGCCCGTACTGAGCTGTGCCCGACCAGGACTGCTGGAGAGACTCCTTCCGGGAGTCCTGGGCGGTCCCGGGCCTGGGGCCCCGAGCTCTGGCCCGGAGTCCAGAAAGCCTGGTTTGGTTCTGCATGCAGCGGTGACTTCTTATCCCCGAACTTCAGTTCCTGCTCGGGAAACGTAGACGTTTCCTTGGAGGCAGGCTGTGGAAATCAAGGTGAGGCCACAGGGTCTTGGTGCATGACCCGTGCTTCCTAGGTCAGGGTGGCGGGCAGCTCTGGGCTCTGCGATCTATTTATTTATTTAATTTTGTCCCCCTCCCCTCCCCCTCCCCGCCCCTGCGTGCTCGCCCGGTGACTCGTGTCCCTGGGAACACGATTGCTGTAATGGGGCCCAGCCAGCCTCCCTGACGACGGGGTCGTGCTGGACCCAGCGTCCAGGCCGGGGCATCCTGGCAGGATCTCCGGAGGAGCTGGGAGCTTGGGGCCGGCGCCCCTGCGAGGACAGGACGGGAGCGGCAGGCCATCGCCCGGACCCTCACCAGGTGGACCCTCACCGGGTGGCAGGGCGTGCGCCTGGGCCGCCTCACCCCGGGCCGCCTCTGCCTCGGGCCGCCTCTGCCTCGGGCCCGGCCTCTCCGCCCGGGGGGACAGTGAGGCCCGGGCTGCCCGGCGCCCAGCCCCCCACCACGCGGTGTGACGGCCAGGCGGGCCACCCCGCGAGGGAGGCGCCAACTGCCGGGCGCAGCACATTTTGGGCACCGTCGCGCTGACCACGGTGGGACCTGGTGGCGGCCGCGCGGGTGGCCGCTAGGTGGCGCAAGGTCACCGCGCAAGGGCGCCGGCCCCGTGGCCTGGAGCACACAGCGGCAGAAGCCGAAGGTCCGGCAGGCCGCTCCCCGTCTCGCTGGAACCTGCGGGAGGCAAGTTGCTGCGAGGCTCTGGCTGCAGGCATGGGGGTCTGGTGGCCGTCCTGCCGTGCCGCCGTCCTGGGGCTGGGGTTCGGGGTACGGGCCCGCTCTGGCCCGGCCGCGCTGCTGGCTGCGGGAAGCTGGCCCTGCGCTAAGGCGGCCCGGCCTTTCCCTCCCGCAGGGCAGGCGCACCTGGCCCCGCGTTTCACCTGCCGGAGGGGGCGGTGAGGAGGTGCTGGCCTGGCTGGCCACGCCCGGAGGTCCCGGCAGGGGTTGGGCGGCTTGGGTTCCACGGCCTGCGCCCCAGCTCCGCCTCCCCTGAGCTCTGTGACCTTGGAAACCTCGAGTCCCCGAGGCCCCGAGCGCTGCCCTGTGGGGTCGGGAGAAGGAGCCGGTGTTGCTCCGAGTGAGTCCCCAGAGCCGGGACGTGGGCAGGGAGGACTCCAGCCTCCAGGGCTGGGCACCCAGCGGCCTCGGAGCGGCGGTGACACACGCAGCTCCCAGCTCGCTGCCCCTGCCCCAGCGGGGTCCCCGCCAAGTGTCACCAACGTCGCAGTGTGCCCTGCGCTCTTACTTGCTGACGAGGAGTAACACGCGGTGGCCACCAGGGACGGGGCAGCACGCAGGCCACAGAGACCAGGCGCCCGGAGGAGGCCGTCCCCCTTGGCACCTGCAGTGCGCTGCCCCGTGCGTTCTGCTCAGCCATCAGGTGAGCTTTGAGGGCCCCGCGCGCGCACGCAGCCTCCGAGTAGACGCAGAGCTTGTCTTTGTCCCGAGCCGCACACATGCATTCACATGACAGCGGGGACCCGGCCCTCCTAACGGCCCCTGTGAAGTCTGCTGGGGACTCCATCTTCCCCCACTCGGTTCCAAACAGACCGGGCTTCTCCGGGGCTTCCTGCAGTCAGCCTCCTGCACCTTCTGGCCCAAGTGGGCTGCCTGCGGTGGCAAAGACTCTGGTCTCCAGTCCGTGGCCGGTCCCCTCGGGGTCATCACACTTGCCTTGGGTGCAGCTGCGGGGCACCGGCTCCCTGAGCCCCGGAACACGTGGCAGCTTTCCGCGCTGTCCCCACAGGCCTGTCCCTTGTCCCGCTGTGGCTGCATTTCCGGGTCTCATGAGGTGCGTCGCACCCTTTCTGCCCCTCACGACTCACGCTGGGGACACAGAGGGCAGGGAGGTGTGAGGGGAGGCTTCTCTTGGACGCACCCAGGTCTGCCCGAGTCCTCCCTCACCCCCGGTCTGGCTCCTTCACTGACGTCCCCCATCTGTGGTCCCTCCTCCCTGCCACGGCCATCGCAGGGCTGAGGGGACCAATGGGCAGTGGGGGTGGGGAGCAGAGATACAGCCTGGGGAGCCAGGGGCTGCGAGGCAGGGCAGGCCTGGGCTCGTGCAGTGTGCAGTGCGGGAGGCCCTGGGTGCAGGCGGCTCTGGTGCAGTGGGCGCTGGCTCTCTCTTGGGAGGCTTGGTGAGGTCACAGCCTTCCGCCTGGAGAGAGGACGGGAGCAGATGGTCAGGGCTGCCATGGGCACTGGACCCTCTCTTTCCTCAGTTACCAGATCCTCAGTGAGGAAAATGGGTTTTTCTCACTGAAGAACGTCTGCACTGCTTTGCGTAAGGCCTTGCCCGCCGCTGCCACGCAGTAGTGGTCAAGGGACTGACCCGGTGGCCTCCCCCTCCCCTTTAAGGCAGCTCCAGTGGAGGAGCTGCCCCCTGGGCGGACCCCGAGCTCTCTGCCTTCGTTCATACTTATGCCCCACGTCCTGCTCTGTGCGACAGTTGTGCGGGGGGAACGTGTGAGTCAGAGGCTGGGCCTGGCCCAGGGGCTGGAGCTGGGATTTGAATTAGAAAGTGCTACATGCAGGAGGAGAGGGCTCAGTCGCCTCCTTGTTGCTGGGAGGTGTCCAGCACCAGTTTGAAGGGGAGGGCTTATCTCAACGCAGGCTATGGTCCATGGTCGGCCAGCTCCGAGGCAGAGATGGTGAAGCGGGAGGGCTGGCGGAGGAGCCTGCTTACACCACGCTGCACAGGGAGCAGGGAGGCAGGGAGGAGCGGAGGGAGCTCACTCTTCCGGTCCCACGCCGGTGACCGCCTCCACCCGGGCTCTCTCCCCTGACAGCACACTCGTGCTCTCCTCGTGAGTGGGTCCCTGCCCTGATGGGCAGTCGCTCCCACCGGCCCTGCCACTGAGCACTGGAGGCGGGGCCACCAGCGCCACCTAGGGGCTGAGCCGTAGCAGAAGGAGCAGAAGGGCTGGGAGCCCAGGGCCCTGTCCACGGGGACACCAGAAAGGCTCTGGGGAGGAGGTGGGGCTGCGGGAGAGTGGGCTGGCCCGGAGCCCTCAGCACGTGTGTGCCAGTGAATGGGAAGTGGCTGGCGGTGGCCAAGGCTGCTGTGTCCCCGAGGTGAGCAAGAGGAAGGAGGCCAGGCGAGGAGGGTGACCCCAAGCACACAGCTTGGGTGTAGGGAGTGAGTTCAGCTCCAGGCCGCCTTGTTGGCAGACTGAGTGCCAGGCATGGCAGTGAGGACCCCTGTCTGCTTCGTCCGCCTCCACCGCGCCATCACACACGGGCACAGAGCCGTGCTTGCATTTCAGGCCCTTCACCAGGCACGTGTCCTGCAGCTCTCTCTGTCCCTGTCTCCTGTTTTGCTTCTTCATGAGGCCAAAGTCAGTGTCCACGGGAGCAGGCAGCACCAGGTCCTCTGAGCAGATGCGTGGAGAGTGTCACGGGCACCGGGACCTCTCACCAGGAGCACCGGGACCCAGTGTGGCGTCCCTGTGAGCACCAGAGTCCACTGCAGCGTCGCCTCAGGGGCGGTGACCCGTGACTGGTGACTGCCAGTCAGCACCGGGCCCAGCATAGTGACCTTCTCCTCTGAAGCTCTCCGTTTTGACTCTGCAGACTTTGCAGCATAGGAACAGAGCTGACGCGACTGGGTAAATGGGATCAGGTCTTCCCTGTTCTGTGTCCAGTCTCCACCGTGCAGGGACGGGGGCCGTGTCACCTGGAGTAGCCCCGGCAGCCCTGTGCAGGTCAAACCTGGGCTGCAGTGAGGGCAGCTGGAGCCTGTCCTGAGGACGCCCCTGGCTCGGCACGGCACTTTGGGGCTCCTCCAAGCCAGCCTGGCTGCAGGTGGGATCCCTGAGGATGAAGGAAGGGTCGCAGTGAGGGATCTGGAGTGAGGCGTGGGGCAGGTGCCTGTCTTTAATGTCCCTGGTCGCCCCTGTGGTGGTCAGGTTTGAAGCAGGTTCTGTCTCACTAGAGCCTTGCAGGGGCCAAGCCCTAGACCATCCCTGGCTTCCCGGCGAGCACTGTTGAGGTGATCTCCAGTGAGGCCCCACGGCTGCCCCTCTCCTCCCGGGGTCTGGTATCGGCTGTGAACAGCTTATGCTGGGATATGGCTGCTGGTGTTCCGTCCCAAGCGGACTCCCTTTCTATGTTTTGATGAGTTCTGGAGGCTTTTTGCAAAGAAGAAGTAAATTCTGGCCTGTTCTGTTGCCTTTTTGCCACTATAACCAAAATACCTGACCCTCATAAGATAGAGGAGGAGAGGTTTAATGCAGCTCATGGTTTGAGAGGATTTAGTCCATGGTTGGCTGCTCCAGGGCAGAAGGATCATGGTGGGAGGGTGTTGGGGGAGCAGAGCTGCTCAGTTCATGGTGGCTGGGAGGTAGAGCATACGGACAGTGTCAGAGAGCAAGGGGTCAGGTACCACTTACAGGACCCCAGGCCACACCTCCACGACCCACACACCTAGGAGTGTGCTCCACCGGGCCTTGGGTGGATCCCAAAGCCAATGGAGCTGACAATGAAGCTTAAACATCACACCTCTAATCTGAACAAAAATAACACAGAATTTCTTACCTATGAAATAGGACTATAATAAAAGAAAATGTGGGGCTAACTAATGTAACGATTAACATTTGCTAAGTACTTGCCATGTGGCATGTGCTGTGCCAAGGGTGTGTGGATGTGCATTTATATACACAAAGATACAAGGGCTGAACAAAATGCACGATGAGTATCTGAATTAAACATTATTACAGTAAAGAGACACTGACGTTAACCCCCTCTAATAGTCCCTTTCACTTTGACACACTTATCCCATTGTTCTTGCCACTTTCTGAAGCAGTTCTGGAGCCCTCTTTCATGAGGCTCTTTATGAGGTCTGATAAAAAACACCGGACCAAATGCTGCTGCCAAGTGCCCTTCAATGGAAAGGCAGCTCATAAAAACATGACGCTGTGTCCCACCACCTTATTCACTGCATCTGGCCCTGTGAGACTTCTGGCTCTTCCCCAAAGTCAAAATGACCTTGAAAGCGAGACATTCTGAATCGATTCAGGACATCAAGGCAGCTACAACAAAGCAACTAAAAATACTCAGAAAAGAGGACTTCCAGAACTGCTTCAGAAAGTGGCGAGAAGGACGGGATAAGTATTTATAGGTGAGGGAGGATTTTGAGGCAATGAGTCCTTTACTGTAATACATTAAAAGAATGTAAAGATCCAGGGTAATTTCCGGCCACACCTTGTAGCACAGTGCTTAGCTGTGGTCACTACACTGCAGGGGCCATGGTCTAGTGGGCGGTCCATGAGCAACGGCGGCAGCTGCTCACAGAGGCCCACACTGTGCTGGGTGGACACCAGTGGTGGCAGGGCAGGGGCTGTGAGCCTGTGTTGTCTGGGGTTAAATCCTAGCCCTCAGACTTTTGAATCGAGGATGCTGGGGTGCAGCCCAGGCTCTCACACGTGTGAGGCCAGTGCTCTACCCCGAGCTGCATCCCCAGCCCACTCTTAGACTTGGTTTTCTCCACTGTAACATGGGGACAAGAGACACACCTAGATCCCTGGTTGTTGTGAGGATTGAATAAGCGATTGTACAGAATATATAAATACAATGTTTTTATGTGAAAATGTAATTATACAAACAAATAACAAAGCATGGCAGAAAGCAGTTGTTGAATGAGAAGTTATCTTCACAAGGTTGCAATAGGGCGCTGCTACAGTTCCCACGTCAGCGGTGTGCAGTGATTCTGGGACAATAACAGAGTAGCAGGGCAGAGGCCCCTGCTGGGTGGGGTGCCTGGGTCTCAGGCCCTCCATCCTCACCCAGGAGGCAGAGGCAGAGGGGTCACTGCTGCTGGGAGTGGGAGCCCAAGGACCCTGAGTCTGACTTAGCAGCCGGGTGCTGCGGGCGCAGGAGCGGTGCTGGAGCTGGAGGAGCCCTCACTTCTCTTTTGTAGGGTGGGACGCGCTGTCCTTGACTCCCAGCCAGACGAGTGCAGGGCTCCAGGACTGGCCAGAGCTTCCTGGGGCGGCCATGTCTGCAGTGGCTCTTCCTGCCCGATGGATGGCTGTGGAAGGAATGGCCTGCATGTCAATCCACCTTTCGGGGCCGCGCCTCTGCCAAGAGAGGCTTGAAAGACGGCCAGCCCTGTAAATCCAGAGACGCTGCTGATGCAGGGCTGGCTGTCCTTGGGCCTGGAGAACAGGACGCTGGGCTGGGTGGAAGGGGCCATGACCTTTGGTGCTCTCCTCCCCTTGAGCAGGTCCTCCTTAGGGTTGCCTTTTCCTGTCATCGAAGCCCTGGGGGCGATGGGGTACCCCAAGTTCCCTTGGAACAGAGCGGGCCAGCAGGGGAAGGACCTGTGATGCTGCTGCTCCCATTGCCTGGGGTCCCCCACCCTCAGGCCCCCCTGTGATAGGCACCTTTGCCCGGGCCTGGGGAAGGGGCTCGTCAGGGGCTTGTGGTGCTGGGCCCTGGTCTTTAGCGGTGCGGCACCCAGGACATCACCACGGCATCCAAGGTCTGGGTCCAGGGCTCTCTGCAGGCCTCCGAGTCCCCCGCGCATGTGGTCACTTCTGGTGTCACAGAGCAGCTCTGCCACCAAACCTGGCCTGCGGCACAGCAGTGCGGCTCTGAAGTCAGAGACTGGACAGAGGCCCTGGGGTGACAGCGCCCTTCCCGAGTCCCTGATCTGCTCTGGACTCGGAAGGGCTGAAGAGCCAGGAGAGGCCCGGGCTGCGGTCACCCGGGCCATCGGAGGCCTCTGCCGCCTGGGCCCAGAGACAGGAGAGATGAAGTGCTCTGCTCCCGAGGCACTGTCCAGCAAGGACCCGGGCAGGGACCTGTGGCCAGGCTGTGTGAGGGGCTGAGGGGGAGCAGCTGTGGGCAGTGGCCTGCTTGGGTCAGAGAGGCCGAGCTGGGAGTGAGGTCCCGGTGGACAGAGGGCAGTGCGGGCAGGAAGGCCACTCAGGTGGAGGGTGGATGTGTGGCCCTGTGACCCTGAGACGTCGGCCAGTGAGGGGCTGGTGCCTTCCCTGGACAGTGGCCCCAAGTTCAGGGTTTGGGGGGCCGGGGAGGGGAAGGCCCCGCCCAAGAGATGGGACAGGAGGGCAGGTCAGGCTGGGGGTCCCCCGAGCCGGCTGACGGGTGAGAGGATCTGGCCTTGGGCCTGTGTGGAGTCGGGCACAGAGCCCCGTCCAGTCCACCTTCCCCAGGGACAGGGCCCTGCCAGCCTTTGCAAAGCTGAGCGCTGGCTTCTGAAGCTCAGCGTCAGCCACTGCCACTGTCGCGGGGGGCCGGCCCCCCCAGGGACCTGCCAGGCCTCTTCCCAGCTGCGGCAGCGTGGCTCTGTTCTGGGAGGTGACCATGTGGGTCTCACCGAGGAGGAGAATGCACTCACGGGGCAGGAGAGGTGTCCGTGGGGGCCTGGTGTGAACGGCCGGCTGGGCTGCTGTCCACCCAGAGCCGCTGTCGGAGAGAAAACGAGGGACATTGCCCGTGTGGCTTGATGTCACCGCAGACCTCAGGCTGGACGGGGTGGCTCTGCCCTCCTGCAGGGCCCTTCCCCGCCTGCGCAGCCCCAGCCTCTCCCGACCCCGCTGGGCCAGGGCGCAGGGCCAGGCAGGGTGCAGGAGACATTACTCTCTCCCTAACCCCGTCAGAGTCCCTGTGGACAGTGTCATAGAAGGTCAGGGAGCACTGGGGCAGTGCCCACACCCCACTCTGCAGCCCGAGCCCTTTCTCAGGGCCTCCGAGAACCCGAAGGAGGAGGGCTGATGTGTGAAGCTCTGTGTCCCCCCCACCTTTGGGGTTCCCACTCCCCGGGGCCCTGCATAGCTCCAGGCTCTGGTGAGAAATCTCCACATTGTGCCTCACAGCCGGGGTTCGCAGCTGAGGGTCTGACGCAGACCGCAGGCTTAGAGGGTGGCGGTGCAGCTGGAGGGCCCCCTGGGGTCTCCCCTCTGCCCTCCCTGCGGAGCCCAGGCTCTGTGGGGGCAGCGCGGCCCGTTGCTCTCTGGGTGAGGAACTGGGGCATGGGGGTTGTAATCAGGGTGGCAGAGCCTTCCCGTGCCAGTGGGGTCCCCAGTGGTCTGAAAGACAAGGCCGCTGGGGGCCTCCAGCAGTGGCTCCCATTCTCCCTGTTCGGTTTGGCTGAAGAGCTCGTTGTGCAGCCCCAGTTAGAGCAACTCAGTCGGATTGCTCGCCTCCCTCTGGACTGACTGAGGTGTGGACTGGTGCCTGGATCAGCGGCACAGAGGCCTCCCGTCTTCCTTCGCTCTCAAACACAGTCAGGTGAGCAGCCTGGGAAACAGAAACCAAAGAGAGGAGGTGGCCGGGGTAAAGCTTGCGACCCCAGCACAGCGCGCTAACTCTAACCCTAACCCTAACCCTTGCTGCCAACCGCGTGGCCTGACGCCCGCTCTCCACGCGAGGGGCTCCGTGGAGGGCTGTGGGGTTCACTGCAGGAACGGGAGTCAGGGGCACCGAGGCCGCCTCGCCCTTGGCTGTGGTTGTGCTCCTGCCTGGTGCTGTGTAAAACGCTCTGCAAAGCACAAGTCCTAGCTTGGAGTCCTCTAAAGATTTGCGCTGGGAAGCTCTGGCTCCTCCTGCAGTTCCAACTCTGGATGAGGGGATAAAGGATCTGCAGGAGGAGCCCGTGTTATTTAAGTCGAAAATACCAAGAAAGGCCACGAATGCACCGGATCCTTCAAGGCCTCTCAGCTCCTGGGAAAGTCCGTCGGGGCCCAGACCTGCCAGGGCCCGTGTCCCCAGCCGTTGCCTGGCAGGTGGCTGAAGGAGTTAGGATGCTCGTGAATCCCGTGTCCCTCCTGCACGTGGTCCCAGCGGGGGTCAGAGGTTGGTTCGTCCCTCCACGTTCGGTGCCTGTCTGACCCAGTCCAGGGAGGCAGTGACTCGGGCTGCAGGGTTCAGCCAGCGCTGAGGACGAGGCAGGAGGGCCTGGAGAGCCGAGCTGCGTGGGGTTTGGCCCCCCCACCTCTCCCTGGTGCTAGCTCCTGTTCTAAAGGTCACTGACACAGAGCTCTGTCTTTCCAGGTCAGAGTGGCCCCATCCCAGGCTTGGGCCCATGTCTGGGTGGGTGCCCGCCCCTCACAGGGCAGCTGTGGGCCAGGCCGGGCGGCAGGGCAGGTGGCAAAGATGGCGGCTAATTGATTTTCCTTCTATGAATATTCATTGGAAGCCACGGCTCCATCTGCTCTCCTTCTGGAGCTCTGACAGCACCGTGCCAGGCTGCCTGCGCCTTCTAGGTCACTCCCTGCCACCCTAGGACGGCCAGGTGGGTGCGGGGCTGGCGTGGCGTTCGGGCCCGGGGGTCTCTGGACTCTGGTCCTTTCTCAGATGGAGCTGCCCGGAGCCATGGAGTGCAGGGAGGCGCTTTTGTGGGGTCCAGGCTGAGCGCCAAGGAAACCACCTCGGTGCGGCCCCTGGGGTCGCCTGTTATGGACGAGGAAGTTGGGGACCCTCTCACCATGGTGGAAGGGGCGGAGGTGACTCAGGTTATGTTGAAGCCACGACTAGCACAGAGCAAGACAATCCGACAAAGACTGAGCAACAGAAGTGCCTACGCAGGGCCCTTAAGGTTCCAATGTACAATGCGTTTCACAGATTGCCAGTTCTTTGAAAATTGTCATTCTTTTTGCATATTTAGGAGTACTTTCTGTATCCAGATAACTGGTACAGTTCTGGCCTTAATGGATAATGCAAACCCTATTTTTTGTTACCCCCTTTATTTTTTCCAGTACCAGGGATCGAACTCAGGACTTTGCGCTTGTGAGGCAGGGGCGGTGCCACTGAGCTAAGTCCCTGGCCCTTGGGGTACACTTTTAAATGTGTAATTCTTGCTTTTGTGGCCCTGAAAGTGAGACAAGCGAACCGAATGTACTAGAAAAGCTCCCTGAGCCTGCATCCTTAAGATGGGCTAGCGGGGCCAGGCAGGAGCAGGAGGCAGGCAAACGTCTGCCCGCACAGGCCAGGGCAGGGAGGAGGCTTTGCTTTTGTCGCTGCTCTGACTTGGCTGTGCAGAAGCCTCGGGACAGTCCTGGAACTCGGCGGGCTGTCTGCAGGGTCAGGGCCCCGTGTGGCCAGGAGACGCCTGCCGGGGGAGTGTGGAGGGGCGGAGTGGCTGCCCGTCCTCTCAGTACCTTTTCAGTTCCATGTTAAAGAGCAGAGCTGCAGACTGAGGAAAGTATTGAAAAACATTTAGGCGAGCTGATTTCTGGAGCCCGGCAGCTGGCAAAGTGCCTGCAGTGTTTGCAAATGTGTCAGGTCCCGCAGGTGTCAGCTGGGGCTGAGCCAGGCTGTGTGGCATCCCTTTTCCCATCACTCTCTGGTCCGGTGTGGCCGTGCTGTCCCGGGGGAGGAGGTGGCGAGTGACCCTCCACATGGCCTCGACACTGACTTCCCAAGGAGCCCGAGGAGGGGACCCCTGGAACCACACCCCACCAAGCTCTACTTTGCCAGCGGAGAGAGCCGCCTTCGTCGCTCGGGGTTGATATCTCTGTTCAGAGACGAATGATCAGAAAACTCACAATGTCCAGGACTGTCCTGAGACAGGGACATCCATCTCACAAACTCAAGGAGATAAAATGATGCTTGTGACTCTGAATTAGACTGAATGTGAGTTAGAGGTAAGATTGCAGGGAATTACGCATCAGGCCAGGGAGCTGGGGTCCAAGCTGCTGGTGCTCACAGTAACTCCTAACTGAAATTTCCCTCGGTCAGAAGTTTCCAGATCCAGTGGATGTCCCCAGCCACGGGGGCAGCAGTGACCCTGTGTGGCTGTCCGGATGGCCTCAAAGGCACCCAGGTTAGGCCACAGCACCCCCTTTCCCAGAGAGGGAAAGAAGGAAAGAGAGAAAGAAAGCTTGGAAGTCCAGCTCCCTCAGGGACAGGACCTTGTGTGTCCCGGGATCGAGGGGAGTCATCTTCGCAAACACAGATATGATGGGGTCACGGAACCCCTAAGCTTGGGGCTAGTTCATCAGTGGGGGCAACCTGGGACCCCCAGGATTTGTGGCTGCCATCAGAAGTAGAGGCCTCTTAGGAGAACTGAGCCTTGAACCTGTGAAGTCTAGTGGGAACTTGAGGACTGGTCCTTAGGATCAGAATGGAAGCGTCTTTCGGGGGGGGTGACAAGGGTGCAGTCGCTGGGCAGGAGCCATCATTGGCAGCCACTCATGTTCTTTCCCGGCTACCCAGAGCGCCACGTGGAGGTGGACACCCCACTGTGCCCTTTCCCTCTGCCCCGGCCGCCGAGCGGTCATCAGTAGTCGTCAGTAGAGTCAGCACAGCCACGCACACGCCCCTTCCCTTCATTCCCCGGAGTTTCTCGCTCCCAGGCTGAGGGCCTCACTGGTGCACGCTGTGCGGTAATTGGTTCTCCTCGCTTTCTTTTCTCCCCCTGACTTCCTCACTAAGGAGCACGGAGGACACAGGCTTGCCGCACAGCAGTTTCATTTACAAGACCTCTCAGGCTGTCAGGCTTGGAGCTCAGATGCTCTGCTCTGCGTGCAGCATTTAAATTCATGCAGCTCATTGATTGGAACGCACTGCCATTCTCACTGCTTAGCTTCTTCAGGAATGCAAATAGCATTTCACTTTAAAGCCGGGGGAAAAGAGCCAAGAATTTTCTTAACCGGTTTTAGGGGATGCGGGGCTGTGATACACAGCGCTCCTTCCACCCAGTGAGTGGTGCCCTGCAGGAATCTGGGTGCTCGCTTTCTGGTGTCCGGACCCAGGGGTCATCCTTTCTCTGCAACTCTCGAAAACTTGATTATCCATCTGCAAACCAGATGCCATTTCCCATTGCCAGCAGCACACCCTAATGCTTCCTCTTGTTAAGCTGAATCCAGGTGAGCTTAGAAGGCGTGGGTGCATTCCACACCAGCAGAAGGAGACTGAGTAAGAAATGCAAATATGTCAGCAGGAGTATCTAGTGCCTGGCACCTCAAGGCCACGTCGGTAGGAGTGTTCGGACTATGCATGGTTTTCGGTTATTTATGTGCACGTGCCACTGCTCTGGGGGTCAGGCAGGGACCATAGCAAGCCGTATTTGTGAAGATGACACAGAGTTAGAAACGTGTAGGTGAAAAGATCTCGCTGCAAGTCCTCTCTGCAGCCCCTCGTGTGACACTCACTCGTGCTTTGTTGAAACAGTGAGAGGTCTCGTGGGCATCGAGCACCCACTCTCGGTGACCCAAACAGCTCAACTGTTACGGGCGCCACTCGCCAGCTGTCCTGAGCTGCGGCTCTGTCCCTGGTCCTCCCACAGGGCCTGGGCAGCTTGTGGGAGCTCCCCGAACCCTACTTGGGGCTCTACCTGGTCGGAGCGCCTTAGCATGTCCTAAGCCGCTGGCTGCCTGGGGTTTGGTGGCAGAGGCATGGGTGGGTGCTGCTGAGGGAGTGGCACTGTGTGTGCCAAGGTACTGGTGCTTCACGCACCCTTGGGTACAGATCCCCACTTCCTACCGTGGTGCATTTCGCCATTAGGAAGCGTTCCAATTCTGGTCACACAGCATACCTGCGTTTGTAGTAGGTGGGAGTGTAACTGCTGAACAGGCATTTGCTCCAGGGCATCAGCAATGCGCTGGCCTGCAGATGTCTGGTGCTGTCATCCTCGCCAGGCGTGGTCTCCCTGAGCAGATTCAGGGTGCTGCTGCTACCTAGGAGGCCAGGGTGTGTGCAGAGGAAGCTGCACGGGGAGGGGCAGGCAAAGTGTGCGATCTGGAGAAGGCTGGGCCCGGACGCCCCTCCGTGTGCAGAGAGCTGCAGCAACACTCAGTGTCCACACGCTGCCCACACCGCAGCAGGAAGGAAGCTGCCCTGCACCAGAGTCAGGGGCAGCGGGACCTGGGGTGGAGCTGTGGAGACACTCTTGGTGCCCGCAGGCCAGGTGCATTCTGACCAGCAGGATGACTGCCTCACTGGCCAACCCGAATCTGCTGAGGCCGCCCCGGTCCACACAGCAGAAGCATTTCCCGAGTGCCTACTGTGTACACAGTGCCTACCACGTGGCAGGCAGCATGGGGTGGTGTGGGTGCCCCTTGGCAAGAGCTTTCACACAGCACAGAGTGAAATAAGTGCCACTAACAGAGGCGCTAAAAGTGCCAAGGGTGTGAATGGGGCTCAAGGAAGAAGAGACCACACGTGCTTTGTGCATTTCCATGCAGAGGACTCGAGGTGAAATTTGTCCTTTCCCGTGGAAAGAGCCAAGCGCCGAGAGGGACAGCAGATGTGGGCTGGTGGCTCTGGCAGTGGCATGGGGCAGGCTCTCTGCACGGAGAGGGAAGAGGTAGCAGTCGCCCCAGCAGGCCCTGCCTCTCCCATCTGCCATCGGCCACTGGGGGCCATGGACACCAACACCTTCCAGTTACTCCTCCCCCGGGACATGGCCACCGGAGCTTCAGGGCTGTGTCCCATCCCGTGGTCCCGTGGTGAGTGAGCACCGGGCTGGGTGGGTCTGGATGTCCCCAGCCTCTCTCCCTGGGAGACGGGGCTTTGGGAAGGAGATTGGGTGGCAGGGGCTGCATCGTCAGTGGATTTGGGTGCATCTCCCTCCCAGCTCCTCCCTCTCCTCTGCCTCCTGGCCGCCTTGACGTGAGCTGCTCTCCTCCACCTCACCCTTTGGCCTTGCAGCCTCTGCTTGGAGCTGGCTGACCAGGGACTGAAACCATGAGCCCAAATCAGCCTCTGCTCCTTTCAGGTGTGGATGTCGAGTCTTCTGATTCAGCAACCAGAAGGTGACTAAGCTAGTGTCCGTGGGGCCCCTTGGTCTGTGGGTGGCAGTAAGGGCTTGGGTTCTACTGAATAACCTGAGCTCCCAAGGGTTGTACTGACTGTGAGGCAAGTGTGTAATGCAGGGGCAGGGGAGCCGGGCTGAGCAGGTCTGGGGTGGCCCAGGTCAGTGCTAGGGTCAGGGCGACTTTCAAGGTGCCAAGTGGGCATGATGCTACTGACAGCAGCTGAGGCACGGAACCAGCCTAGGTGCCATCAACAGGTGTGTGGATGAAAGATGTAGTATATGTGTGTCACTTCTGGGGTCACTTCTGTTCCATTGGTCATTGTGTCTGCATTTATGCCAATACCATACTGTTTTGATTATGATTGCTTTGTAATGTAATTTACAAATTGAACTTTGTTTTTGTTTCTCAAGATTGCTTTGGTGACGTGGGAGTCTTTTGTGCTTCCAAGAAAATTTAAGAATAGTTTTTTTTTTTTTGATTCTTGTGAAAATGTTTTTATAATTTTGATTGGGTTTGTGTTGAATGAGTTTATCTCTTTATGTCATATGGGTATTTTAATAATATTAATTTTTCTAATCCACAAACAAGATGTCTGTTAGTTTATGTTTTCTTCACTCTTTAATCAAAGTTTTGTCATTTATATTGTAAAGATATTTTGCTTCCTTGGTTAAATTTATTGCTGGGTGTTTTATTCTTTTAGACACTATCATTAATGGGATTGTTTTCTTAATTTAGTTTTTCAGTTAAGCATTATTTGTGTAAAGAAACAAAACTAGTTTTTGTGTGTTGATTTTGTATTTTGCAATTGTACTGAATTTATTCTTTAGTTCTAGCAGGTTTTTTCTTGATGTGTGTAGGGCCTTTAGCATTGTCCACATATGGGATCCTGTCCTCTGCAAATAAGGCTAATTTTCCTTCTTTCCTTTGGATTTTGATGCCACTTACTTCTTTTCCTGTGCGGTACTCCTGCTGTACCTCTGGCCCGTGCTGAGCAGAGGTGGGGAGCATGCCTGCCTGAGCAGGTCCTGGAGGAAAGGCTTTCTCAACATTCTCAACAGATCAAAAACTGTCTTATTCTAGGAAAAAGCAATTTTTATCCAAAGATAGATAAAACAATTGAAATAAATGAAAAACAACCCACTTCTCTTTATCTCATTGAGATGTAGTTTCTTTTTTCAAAATTGCATTTATGTTAATGCTTATTTAGCAAAAAGTTAATATATTCATGTTATTTTGATCAATTGTATGTTAATAATTACAATGATAACTCAATTCAGAAAAATGTAAATATTTAACTCCAGTAGTTATGAAACATTTAAAATAGCTTTAATATTATGTGTGTTTTATTACAAAGAGGTGATAAAATGATCAATAAAGACTTTTGTGCAAATAAAATATTACATTAGGATGAAATCTTGTGGGGAAGTAAAAAGAGATTAAAGTCAAGGCAAAGGAGGAGATTGGAAATTTTCTATAATGCGCATTGTTATGTGTTTAAAAATGGGTAGCTGCGGGCATCAAATTGTGTTACTTAAATTCCACTGCCTAGACTTAAAAGAACAATGAATTTATTTTAGAATGTTGGTATTTAGAATATTGAGTAAACTACGCCCTTTGTGACCTTTAACTTTGACAACATTTTGACATCTGCTGGGGGTTGGCTGTCTGTGGGCACATCCCGAGGAAGCCCGGTACCCAGTGGGACTGGCATCTTCGTTCTGGGGTCTAACCCAGGACCTGCAAGCCAGCGACAGCTGCTCTCTGTGAGCATTGCCTTGCAGTGGCCCGGCCAGTGCCGAGGGTGGTGCTTGGTCAGCATAAGGTCACCACCATGATGGCTGAGGCCGGCTGGGGCCCCGGAAGGTGGGCTGGCAGTGGAGCACACACGCCCTCCCCAGGACCCTCCTGCTTTTGCTGTTTTCAGAGTGGTCTGTAAAGCCAGTTGCCTAGCATGGGGTCAGTGACCCTGTTGGGCAAGTCCACCCACTGTGGGTGACCCTTGATGCACCCATTCAGTCGCTGGGCTGAGCTGTCTTCAGAAGTCGGCCCCCTCTCTGTTCAGAGGCAGGCCTCCCTCCTTCCCTCCCTCCCTCCCTCCCTCTCTTTCTTCCTTTCCTTCCCTCCCTCTCTCATTCCTTCCCTCCCTCTCTCCTTCCTTCCTTCTTTTGAGACAGTGTCACTCTATGCAACCCAGGCTGTCCTGAAACTGGCTATCCTCCTGACTCAGCCTCCCAAGTGCAGATATTCCTTTTACGTCTCTCTAGGAAACTCAACAGAACCAGTGTCAGTGGCAAAGGTTGATAACTGTCACAGGATTCTTTCTTGTGGAGCCCGTGAAGGGCTGCTATGTCTCAGCACAGTACTTTGGGCAGCCATGGCGTTGGCATGCAGTTTAATTAAATGTTCTCTGCAAAACTGCTCTCCAAGGCTCTGACAGGGCAGCGTCACGTGGGTGAGCAGCACTTCCTGTCCCAGTGTGCCCTGCTTTCTGGCCATGCAGTGGTAGTGCTCGTGCACTCCCATGAGCCTCTTCTCAGAGTCAGGTCCTGCTGCTCAGGCTCACACTACACCTGCCACACTCCTGGCTTTGGGGCGCTGGGCTCCATGGCACCCATGGGTGCAGCCTGCTTCCTGATCATGCATGCTTCTGTGTGCTTTATGTGCATGTAGTATGTGTGAGAGTGTGCAGGGTGTGCCTGTGTGTGATGTGTGTGTGTAAGTATATGAGTGTCCAGGGCATACCTATGCAATTCATGTGTGTGAATTGTTCAGGGCATGCTTGTGTGCATGTATGTGTGTGAGTGTGCAAGGCATGCCTGTGTGTGTTGTGTTTTGTGAGTGTGCAGGGTTCTTATAATTGGTTAGTGGGTTAGGAGCCAGAATGGTACCATCACGTACGTACTTCTGACCTCAGAGGAAAAGGCCAATGCACCCAGATCTCTTACCTGTTCTACTCCTGACTGGTCCTGGGAATCTCTTTCATGGCTGGCCCTGAAGCTGGCCCAGTAGCAGGGAAGACAGAGCATGATTGTCCCGTCTGGGGCTCTGTACCTGTGCTTACCTAGAGTGGAGAGTCCAGGGCTGGAGTTCATTCATTTTCATGTTCATTCGCTGGAATGGGCAGCCTGGGAGAGACTTGTTCTCAACAGAAGATGGGGTGGGAAGAGGAGATATTGGGGAGGTATGAGAATTACTGAGGTGCTGGGGGCTGATAGGACCCTCAGACACCCGTGTGGGGAATAAAGAGAAACAGAGACAGTATTCAAGGTGCAAGGGGACTGGGAGGAGCCTGCCTCTAGTGGACAGACCGACAATCTCCAAGGCTGACACTTGTATTAGCAAGTGAGAAGCATTGGGGAAGGGGCCATGTGTCGTTCGTGAAACAGTAACGGTTAAAGAGGTGTGTCGAAAAATAGGGAGCAGGTTAAACTCTTACAAAGGGAATGTGTGAAAGAGAACAGGTTTTTCCTATACCCGGAGGCCTGCGCAGGTTAATAGGGGACTAGCGTTCTTTACGTTGTCCGCAGCAGGTGTTATCTTGCCCTGGCAGCACTGTGATTGTGAGCATTCCCCACACAGCCAGGAAGCACACAGCCTCCCGCATACTTTTCTGCTTCTCAAGGCAGGTCACGTAGGCCTCGGGACTGTGGGGCATAAGTCACACAGTCTGGCCCCGATAAGTCCTCATAGAGCCTGGTCCTCAACACCGAGGCAAAGGAAAAACATAAGATAGGGTCTTGAAAGGCAGGAGAGCAAATTCACTACTCCGGGGGGTTTGGCATGGTCCAGCTTCTCCAGCCACGGCACTGCCCAGGGCAGGCTCGGAGCAGGCAGGATCCTGGCCCTCACAGTCTGTGCGGGGGCCAGGAAGCCGGTGGGGGAAACAGGCAGTGACCAGTGGAGGCTCCTGGGATGGCCTGTGGGCCAGGTGTGGCCCGGGCCACCGAGGGACCCTGCTGTGGTCACTGGGCAGCCACCACGAGACACTGCACTCTTGGGCCTCAGATCCCTAGACTGGGCTCAGGCAACCATAGAACGAAACTGCTGGAGTTTGGTGCTTCTGGAACTTGCTCGAGGTTTAAAGTGCCGGATGGCTGAGCTGGGTGCACCCCAGCCCAGTGGAGCCCTGGCGGATGCTGTTATAACAGGTTGGGAAGTCGAGGGTGACTCTGACGTGTGCGGCCCAGCCTGGAGGGGAGCAGCGTGAGCTGTGCAAGCCCTAGATCTGCCGAGATGTGGAAAGCATGAGAGTCCCTTGTGTTTAGCTTCCGAGGCTCTCAGGGCAGGGTTGCCAGATAAGGGAGGAGCTCTAATCCTGGCCAGCAATCAGGTGGAAAAGCCCATGCACTTCCTGGCTTGAGGACCCATCTTGGACCCTGCAGGTAACCAGGCGACCGGAGGTGCCGGCCGCCCCGCACGGAGGGAGGCGGATGGAGAGCGGTGAGGTGGAAGTGCCTCCCAGGATGCAGACTCCTCCGCAGCGCGACCCCAGCTGAGCGTGTCTCCTTTTCCCGGTGATGTGGAGGTGTTTGTTTTGCAGAGGACCGGTCTGGGCCAGGAGGGACAGGTAGGCTGGGCTTTTGCTTGGCCTCCCCAGCGGGAGAGACTATGGCATTGCTGGCACAGCAGCCGAATGTTCCAGGGGCCGAGAAGGCTGCTTTCGAGCAGGCCAAACGTGCTTAGTCCATCTGGCAACTCAGTTAGGCTTGACAACCACCCCCCACCCTGCCCGAAGGCCCTGCAGGAGCTGTGCTGCTGCATCATGGTCTTGTTTTCGTAGATCAAGACTCTCGGTCCCTTCCCAGCCTGTCAGAATCCTGGCTTCCAGTACTCGGCTGGGTGGTCTGACATCTCCACAATGTCACATTCTGTGTTGTTGGATTCTCTTCACCAGGCCAGGGGCTGTGTTTCACCCTGAGCCGAAGAGTAATATTTCAGGAGCACTGGAAAGGAAAACATTCCACCCGATTGCAGCCAGCAGAGTGGGCGTGGCCAGTGGCTTCTCTGGCCAAGCGTGGCTGCCAAGGTGAGGCCAGGCCATGCAGGGTTCGACTCTGCACGCCCGGTTGGCTGGGAGGCAGCGGAACAATAAATCGAGTCAGCGTTTCTTGCCTGGGCTTGGTGGGATTGGCTTTCTTCTGTGAGTGAGAAAGTTCTGACAGCACTGTGCATCCAGGCAGACCCACCAGACACACACACACACACACGTGTGCACACACACACATGCACACACACACGTGCAACCTGCCCCAGGGAAGGTAGCGCATGTGGACTTGGCAGACAGTAACCACCACAACCAGTGCAGAGGCTTTGTTGATTTTTTTCTGCAGATGCTTTTCAAATGGATCCTTTCTGCTCCTGGAAGAAGAGGACGGGGCTTAAATAATATCAGGTGGAAATGAGGCGATTCAGGAGATGGAGACAAGGGCTCTCCGGCCTGGGGCCCCAGACTCCAGAGGGACAGGGCCCCCTCTCCGCGGACGCGACCGTCTGTCTTGGGAGCCCCATGGCAGTGGGCTGGCCAGGCAGCACTGGGCTTTCTGCTGACTCTGGGGGCTGCACCCCCAGGCCTGGGGTCCGGAGTGCACCCCGCGGTGGGATCACCAATGTGGACCTGGTCGTGGAAGCCTGGAATTTTCTCAGTTCGTGCTGAGGCTTAAAAGCAACCCCAAGTCTGCCCTGCACCTCGGTGCTGCAGCCTGAGAAGCAGGGAGTGTTACAGCCCTCTCCGCCCCGATGATGCACGACGCTTGCTTCCACCCTGGATGCAGCCAGTTTGTCCCTGATGTCACTTGCAGAGGCCAGACAATTGCACGCTTCCTCTAAGATGATGGTTTGCCTTTACTCAGTGCCCATGGCTGTGGGTTTACGTGACAGGAAGTCATGGTGCAAGCTCAGCTGTCACTCACCAGGCCTGTGACAGGAGGTCTGGGACACCTCTGGGGTTTGCTCTGCCATCAGTCCCGTGGGAGCCCCTCCCGTGCCTGTTGTCAAGGGTGTCAGGATCATCAGATCTGATCATGCTTCTGAAAGAGCCTTCAAAACGCTGGGGTGATATCTAAAGGTCAGGCATAGTCACAAATAAGGTGTGACTCCTTTAAAAAATTCCCTGGCTTCCTGTGGTCACCTCTCCTGTTGTGCTCGCCGGATGTACTTTCTGTGTGGCCTGAGTGTGTTTGGACCTTTCTCTATCCTGCTTGCTGCTCAGTGATCTGGCTCGGATTTTACAATCTAAGATCGGCTCTTTCCGTGAACATGTTTACTTCTCAACAACATTAATGAAAACGAGCACAGTGATTTATAGGGTACACATCTGCCCGAGGTATAGCGTTTAGAAGCGCCACGAGTACTTCCCACAGAGGCAGCGCTGGCTTCTGCGCCTGGGCTGATGCTCGGCTCGCAGCCTCTGCAGCGTTCAGTGCACTGTCGCGGTGAAACCGGCTGCTGCATTGCGGAGCGGTCAGGACACTTGCGGGCGAGGTTTCTGTGGGTGAAGAGGTGTGGGAGGCTCAGGGCTTTGGTGTTGCCTGCGAGCCGGTCACCCTCAGCAGGATGTGCGTGTGTAGAGCAGTGTGGGCCGTTCCTCCGTGTGGCCGTGCAGGGCAGCACCGGGGCAGGTTCTCTGTCCCCTGTCTGATGCCGGCCAAAGGGGGGCCTCTGTTTTTCTCCTTGAGCCTCAGCCAGTGCTCTCGCCCTGGGTCACAGTCACAGCTGTCCTGCCTCTGCCCCGTGCTCCTGGCCTGCAAGGCTTGGGGTAGAGAGCCCGAATGCACAGGAGTTAGGTGCTCGGTGGCTCTCGGTGGTGCTGGGTGAGCCAGGTCTTCCCTCAGGTTCTCACTGGCGAGGTCTTCAGATGACTCTTGAGGCCAGTGGCAGACACCCGGACCCCAAATTCAGCATCCTGTGATTTCCTGGGACTCAGGAGTCTGGTTCCTTGCCCGTCCAGGGCTGTCTGCAGGCGGCAGAAGTGTGGGACAATTTGAATGTGATTCATGCACCGAATATGTGCCAGAACCCATTGGCACCCATGGTGTCACGAGATATTCAGGCACAGCAAACAGAATTTGCACGGTGCCCTTTCAAGGGGAAATGTCCTTCACACGAGTTGTGTGGACACCCTGGAAGGCACGGGGTGCGTTCTGTGGGGATCTGTGGGTGACAGCGTGGGTCCCGCCTCTGGTGCACAGGGAGACCCCCACCCATCCCCCGTGCCCTGGCCAGGGCCCTCTGCGCAATGCACAGGACCTCGGGCTGCTGAGCGGTGGCAGCCGAGGAGAGGGCAAGCAAGACAGTGTGAACCGTTCTGATTCCGGTCACGCGCGAGTCTGCCTGCCTAAATGGTTCGTTGGAGACCAAGAGCTAGGGTTATATTAGGAATTCCTGCTCTTTCTCCTCTGTAGAGCAGGGCTGTTCAGAACCCCTCTTCTGCCAAGTGAAATCTGGCTTCGGTCTCGATGTAGAACTGAGGCTGGTGACTGGGTGAGGCGGGGAGACCAACCTGGCTGCTGTCCGCCTCCGAGTAGCCTTGGGACACCTTGGAAGCTCGCTCTCCTGAGGACGGCGCCTTTGGGTCATGGACTTTCCTTCTCTCTTTTCCTGTTCCTCAGTTGTGTCCCCTGTGTGCCCCTTACCTGCACCCTTCCCACGGTGACCCCAGGGCCTTCTCCCTCTCTAGGGGCCCCCCAGCTCTGCGCAGGACCCTGCTTTGGACAGGCACCCATGTGCTTCTGTGTGTGGAGAGGCACGGAGCAAAGGCGCCGCCTCTGGCCTCTGTGTTACTCTTTGTTTCTTTATTCCTGTGTGGCCAAACCCAGTGGGCGCAGTGTGTGCTGAGGACCTCCCCGTCCTTAGTGTGCCAAGCCCTTGTACCCATCCTGGGCACCAGCAACTTCTCTGGGCATCACACCTTCCAGAGTCTGTCAGGGGCACCAAGTGCAGAGCCACGGCTACTCGTGGCGGGGATCGGCATCTGCTCGCGGCCATCCACACCACAGAGCCCATCAGAGTCCCAGGATGGGTGCCCCAGTGCTGAGTTGCTGGGCCCAGCCCTCCCTGCACACACAGCGAGCGTTTCTCAGATGTCTCCGTTGGCCCACGACGCAGGGGACCCTGCTGGCCATCACCTGGGACTGAGCTCAGGCGCTCTCTGTGGAGTTGGGAGGGGGTCGCGTGGCTGGGTGGCCGATTGCTGGGCACGTGGACTCTGCCTCTGCCCAGAAGGGAGCGTCTCAGCGCAGCAGTCCTTGCAGGTCTGAAATTTCTTGTTTCCATGACGTTTGTGTTCTCCCCTCACCTGTCAACATTTCTCAGCAGAAGGCAGCAAACCCAGCCCACTCTGTGCCAGGGCAGGGACTGGCAGGAGCCTGAACTCTTCTTATGCACCCACCATCCACAGCACTGATCCTCCTCCCCACAAAGAGGGGTCCCCAGTGTGCGGGGCCTGGGGTCTCTGGGGGCTCAGCCCTGGAGGGGGGGTGCAGGGCTCAAGCTGACCCAGGGAAGGGGCCTGGGGCCTGCTGTCCTGACCAGGCCCTCTGCTCGCCTGCACTTGGGCTCTCGGCCCCATCACCCCGAGGAACGAACTGCAGTGCTCTGTGTGCTTCTGCCTACTGAGAATCCTCGCAGGAGAAGGTGACAGGTCTGACTCAGGGTGTGGGAATAAGCTTCAAACCCTGGTCTCCCTTTCTGTGTCAGAATTCGGGCTCAAGGCCACCCTTAGCCGCTCACTTGAATCCCTTTCTCACGGTGACCTGGGTGGGCTTTCTGCTCTCTCAAAGCCTCCTCTGTGCTTCCCTACGCAGGCTCTCAAGGGCCTGTGGTCTCCTCTCGGCCATCGAGTGGCACCTTTGCCCCTTCCCAGCTCGGGGGCACCTGGGGCTCAGCCCCATCCTTCCCGCCTCCCCTCCGAGGAAGAGGGGCTGCAGATGCATCCCACACAGCGACCCTGGCCTCCTGCTGGAGGAAGGACTCCCGCGGGTGAGAGCTGTGGCCAGTGGAGACGGCCCGTGGGGCGTTCACAGCCAGTGAGCAGTGTTCCTTCTTCCGCCATTCTCCTTATGGACGGAAGTCGTCCCTCCTGGAAGGAAGCACAGCATTCTTTACTCGGCTGCACAGTGGAGCCTCCTCATTCCGGGGTGAGAGGCAGGCATGGCAGCTGCCGGGCCCGTTATTCTGCCAGGATGCAGGTGGGGGCAGAGACACTTCTGGCTCCCTCCGCCATCTGTGGCCCCCGGCCTCTCGCCGAGGGCCTGGGGTTCCGACCTCCCCGCCCGGTGCAGTGTCGGGGGCGCCCTCTGCTGCCCCCGTGACCTCCCCTCTCTGCCCCTCTCCCCTCAGGCCCTGGGTCGCGGCCCTGTCCTCTGCTCTCTGACAGACCCAGCAGAAGCCGGGCCAGAGGGATTCTCCGGCCTTGCCGTCCTCCACTTCGGGGTGCACGCCCACGATGGCTCCTGGGGAACAGGCCGCGGCCCCTGCCCGTGAGAGTAGCGGTGAGACCCTGCCAAGGAGGAAGGAATCAGAGAGTCACCCTCAGGTCACAGTTCCTTGGCCCAAGCAGCGGGGGCCCCCGATGGGCCTGTTCAGTGGAGGGGCCAGGGACGCCCTCTGGACTCAGCCGGAGGAGGCAGCCCCAGGTCAGGGCAAGTCCTGGCCACTCCTGTGGTGCAGCAGCGACTGCGTCACTGGCACTCAGCTTCGCCAGCACCAGGTTTCTGGCTGCAGCTGAGCCGGTACAGGCCTCCGGGAGCGTCCAGGGATGTGCTGCAGAGGACTCCGCCGTGGCAGAAGGGGACACAGAAGTGACCGCTCTGAGTAAAAGGAAATGCATGTGGCAATTTGTGTGTTTCTAGCAGCCACTGGGTGGAAGGAGGCAGGTTCTTATGGAGGGCAACGCTCTCCCTGCCGAAGAGGCAGATGGATGGCGAGGGAAACACAGGGCCCCTGGGCGCTGGCTCTGAGAGGCAGAGTGGAGGCCCAGAGGGGTGCAGGGACAGTGCACCCATCGTGGGCAAGACACCAAGGCGGCTGGTGCTGCCGGAGTCAGAGTCATTGCAGGGAACACTGGCCAGGGATAGTTGTCCTTGAGGGGTTGAAAGGACAACCTGACTCAGGACACTTCCTCCCCGGCGTCCTCCTGAGACTGACTGCTCCTCTGGGGACCTGCTGACCCCAGGGCCTGTGCCCCTAGCCCCAGTGTGTCCTTCAGAGCTGACCTCTGGGGCTCCCTTCCCCACTCCACTGACGGCATCTGTAGGACCACCAGCAGCTCGAGCACTGGCACGCAGGGTCTCTGGGCGACGGAGTGACCCCAGAGGCACTGCCAGGGACTCCACCCCCAGCTCTGCTCACTCCTCCCCCTGGTGTGGGTCGGGCGGCCCCAAGGGATGTCTGCACCTGGCCTTGTGTCTCAGTCACTTTCTTCCTCACTGGGAAAAAGCACCTGACACCTGCAATCTAAAGGAACCGAGGTTTGTTTTGGCTCCCGGTTTGCAGAGGTTTCAGGCCACAGTGTGCCAGCTCCGAGGCAGGCAGCATGGAGGAGGCCTGGCAGAGGAGAGCTGCTCAGGGCATGGTGGATGGAAGTGGAGAGAAGAGAGCAAGGAAGGGAGATACAGGGTAAGGCTCCGGGTCACTGACCACCTCTTCTGACCAGGCCTCGCCTCCTCAGGGCACATCCGCTGCAAGCCCTGTAAATCATTCACCTTCTGAACACCCTACCTGGAGTGCAGGAGGCCCTTGGGGGACATTCTTGATCTAAAGCACAACACCCGGCCCGAGACCTGGTAGCAAAGCAAAAGTGTAGCTGCTCTTTAGTTTCTGCCCATCTTGGCCCTGGAGTATTTGAGTGCAGACACGGAATCTGGGTTACCTGGGTGCTTAATTTATAAGGCCAGAGCTCCATGTCAGGGCAGAGGAGTCCTGAGCCAAGGCTCTGTAGGCACTGCTCAGGGGGGCTCGGCCCTGGGCAGGAGGAAGTGGGGAGGCTGCTGGTGCTGTCCACACTGGCAGCTTCTTGGTGCCTTCACCAGAGGAGGGAAGAGAGGTTGCAGAGTGGGCTTTGCAGTCAGGAGAGCTGGGTGGAGACCCAGCTCGGGCACCTATTTGTGGTGTGACCATGGATAAATTGCTTCACTTCTCTCTGGCAGATTAATGATGCCCACATATTCTTTTATGCTCACCCATCAAGAGGTGGAACTTTGGATCTGGGCTGGCCTGACTGCTGTGACCATGGCAGACGAACTGAAGTGATTCCAAGTCAGTGTTGGGTCTTTCTTTCAAGGGGATTCACCTTGGTCTTTGGGGCCCTGAGTGGCCATATAGAGCTCAAGGACCCTGTGGGAGACTGGCCACATGAGGCCACCCTGAGCATCAGATATGTGAGCAGAGACGCCATCTCAAGAGCCTTGCCTGGCCCAGCCATCAGATGAACTGAGAGCAGCTTGTGTCCAGCTGCAACTGCATGGAACCCCAGGATGTTCAATAAATGACTTCTCAATAATATTATCCAAAACTATATGTGTTCTCCAGTACTGGTGTTGCTGTGACAAAATTCGGACAAAATCAGCCTAAAGGCCGAAAAGGTTTATTTGGCTCACGGTTTCAGAAGGTTCAGTCATAATCAGCTGGCTCCGAGGCAGAAACGTCATGGCAGAAGGGCCTGGTGGGGGAAAGCTGCTTACCTCATGGGGGCCAGGAAGGAGGGAGCGAGAGGGAGAGAGAGAGAGAGAGAGAGAGAGAGAGAGAGAGGAGAAGGGTATAAAATATAGCCTTAAAAGCACACTGCCAGTGACCTACTTCCCGTAACTGGGCCCTCCTTCTAATGGCCCACTCAGCTATGAATCTCTGCGTGTTCTTCACGGATGAGATTAGGGCCCTCAGGATGAAGTTGCCTCCTTAGGCCCCACCTCTGAGCCTGGCTGCATCAGGATCAAGCCTCTGGTTAAACCCAAAAGTATGAACAGGCAAAGTAAGTCAGAGCGTCTCTTTGGCTGCCTTGAGTTTTAGTCCATGAAGCTGTTCAGCTTTGCAGGGGAGCAGCCAGTGTGTGTCAGATGTCTGGGGTCTCTGGTGAGATGCATGTGCAGCCAAGGTCAAGTTCAGAGGCCTTGGGGCAGCCGGGGCAGAGCCTTTGACGTCGGTTCATTTGTTTCCTCTTACAGAGTTGTCCTGCTTCTTCCTTCTGTGTAAACAGGCCTCCTCCATGCAGTGAGGGTGGTTGTGACCAGAGACAGGCTTGCTGAAAGCAGAAGAAATCGAGTGAAACAGAACCAGAATTTATATTTTCCTTTCCTCTCTCCAAAAGGGTTCTGTATGTAACGGGAGGAGAGAGTGGCCTCTGGGCAGTCTTGCGATCCTGAGTCTTATTACAGATTGTGAAAACTCCACAGGATTGTGCCTGGTGTCCAGCCCATGTGCCTGCCTTAATGAGAAGATGGAAGACCCACTAATGCCATTTGTTTGATTTCGAGGTAGTAGGTGACAGGTGAGATAAATATTCCCTCTAAGGCACAGGGACGAAAGGGCTGCTTTCTATGTTCCATTAAATGGACCAGAGATATGATCTGATCCCTCTTGTTCCTGAAGTGCTGAGATGCACAGACAGTGGCTGAGAAATGGAACACACCAGGAATGCAGACATCCTCTCCAGCCTCATTTTTTACTCAGCCACCAAGATGCTCACGTGTCAGGCTTGGTCTGGGAGCTGGCATCATAGGGGTCTGTACCTGCTTGTGGATGATGTTGTTAGCAAGTCCTAGAATTGAGTGTCAACTGCCTGTGACCCTGTGTGTATTACAGGAATTGCAGAGAGCTGTCAGAGGCTCCTGCCTTCAAAGATGGCAAAAATCTCCTTTGAAAGGGCATTGAGAGAGATGGGTATTGGGGAGCAAATGCAGGTATGGGGGGTGGAGTTGCCGTTCACCTCTATTTTCTAGGCGTCTAGGACTAGAGAAATCATCAGAACACCAGGTAAGTGGGAAACAAAGCACCGGTTTATTACTCTAGGCAGGTGGCCCACAGTTCCGACAAGTGCTGCTTCTGGTAAATTGTACTCGGACCCGAATTAGCTCCAAGGTTGTGGCAGGGGATCACTGCTCTTACCGCCATTTCCGGGCCCATAACAATGATTTTGAATGGACGGACTGTAAGAGGACTGGACTTTTCCCATGGCTGCCACACTTCATGGGGCAGTGGGGCACAGTCACTGACCACAGGACGTGAGGGGAAAAACAGCACAGCAACATCTGGCCTGGTTCCTGCTTTGGGTGGCAGAGTGAAGATTCCCTCTAGTAAAGTACGGGCCGTGACACGCAGGCTCTGGTCAGTCGGAGTCCAAGTCTTTTCTCTTGGAAATGAGTTCTCAGTCACTTTTCTCGCCCGTGAGACAACACCTGACACCTGCACCCTAAATTAGGAGAGGTTTGTACCGGCTCAGCTTTTAGAGGATTCAGTCCACAGTCGGCATGGAAGGGCATGGCAGGAGAGAGCTGCTCACAGCATGGGGATCAGGAAGCAGACGCGAAGGGAGGAGCCAGGGAGGGAGACTCATCCTTCTGGTCCCGACCCTGTGACTGGCTCTTCCAACCAGGCCCTGCCTGCCAAGAGCAAGCCAGCTGCAGCGCCCCACGGTCCAGCCCCCTCCAAAGACCCTGCCTGTGACCACATCATAGGTCTACATCATGACACGAGCCATTAGACGTAGAGTTTAGAGCTGTTTCTCATAATGACCCTTCTTGTGGTAGAAAGGGCTCCATCTCTTAGAAATATAGAAAGTGGGAGAAATATAGAAAGTGGGAGAAATATTTTTCCTCCTCCAATAGTCTATGAAATGTGTTATACCGGTGGCTTGGAGGAGACAAGAAGCAGCTCTGTGGAGCGGACCCAGGATGGGACAATCAGGGTGCCTGGGGACAGCTTGACTGCCAGTTGACAAGGTGGGGAGTGAGGAGAGGCAGGCTTTCCAGGCGCGAGGTCCGCCCGTGTGGAGCAGGTGGTGGCAGAGGCTCGGAAAGCGGAAGAGGTGGAAACCAGCCCGGCATACTTGGGCTTCTTCCCCGATCTTCACCCGCACTGCTTGGTGGAGCTCATGGGAACACCTGGGAGCGGCCGAGGGTGACGCTGCAGGCTTCTAGGGCTCTGTCACCTCACAGAGGGCAGCTCCAGCAGCGCCTGCGCGCCCACCGCTGAATACCTCCCTGAGGTGGCTCACAGTAGGACCACACGTCTGCAGGAGGAGGAAGGAGCAGGAGAGTTGTCTGGTTTTCATCGTGATCTGATTACGGAAGGAGCCTTCCCTCGTTCGTCACTCACAAGTTACTCACCACGCACTGCTTCTTCCATGGCCTTCCTTGTTCTGTCTCTCCTTTTATAGAACATTCTCAGTTCCTGCAGTTTTTCTTCCTGTAATTTACAAACACTGGTCCTAGCACAATGCCAGCAAAGTCAATTTCCACTCTACAGCTCAGGTCTTCAAATACTTTGAGATGCCTCTCCTTGCATGTCTGTCTACTGCGTCCAAACCTTGATGTCATGGATCTTAACTTCTGTGAATGCCACCTCATCTTTCCACCCCAGCCCTGAATTTCAGCAATTCTTCAGTCCTGTGAGGACCCCCAGCAATGGGTCCTCCCTTCTTTACACCATCCCTGGCAATTTTGATCTCCCCTCTTCACTCCGCTCGGGCCTGAACTGCAAGATCATCTGTTAGGGTCTCGCCGTATGTGTTCCCTCATGCCTCCTCCACTTGTGGCTTAAGTGGGAGCGCTGTCCTGGTTGCAGGCCTCTCCACCTGCTCAGTGTCTGTGCCCACCCAGGAGTGTGGCCAGAGAAGCGGCACCCTGATGCCCGTGCCGCCCAGGGCTGTCATCTTGGTGTGCTTCCCTTGTCCATCTGCTCACTGCATTCCTCGGTGACCATTTCACCAGCCCACCTTCTCCTGGCTCCCCCCCATCCTCACTCTTCCCCACCGACCCTGGCTCCTGCTTTACTAAGGAAGTCCCGATGCCGGAAGGGAAGCCTTGACTTCCGCGTCCTCCCCACCTGAACCCTTGGAACGTTGCTCGGGCAATTCTCCTCTTCCTCTTCATGGCCATCGACTTCCCCTGCAGTCCTGGGGACACAGGGAGCACGTGCTGCTGTGTCCCACTGTCCATCCCACTGGTTCCTGATATTGCTCTCCTCTGTGACAAACTCCTCTAGGTGAGGAAAGCTCAAACCCAAGGATCTCCATTCACCACTTCCGGTTGCTGGGCTCGAGTGTTCTCCAGCCTTCAGGTGTTGGTCAGTACCGCCTTCCTGCTGCCCTGGCCATGGTGCTCATCTCGCTCGGCCAGTCAGCAGCGCGAGGCACTGTTGGCCGCTTCCTCCCCACACACCGTGGGCACGGGGTCCCTACCCCGTGGTGGGCGGCCTCTCGGTGCTCACGTGGGGCCCTCTGCTTCCCGATGCCTTCATTTTGGGATAGGAGGGCTTCTGGCTTCAGCGTTTAGTCTGCCTCTCTCTGATTTAACTCCTAGGCAGTGTTGCCTGGTCTCATGGCTTTCAAAATCACTACTCTAGGGCCGGGAATGTAGCTCAGTGGTTCTGGCACCTGCCTTACAAGCCCAAGGTCCTGAGTTCGATCCCCGGTGCCAAAAAAAAAAAATCACTGTAGTCTGACATTTAGGTCTCCAGCCTGCCACCGTCTCCATCTAGCTGCTCAGGGGACTGAGATGATGGTGGTGCACACTGACCTCGAGCCCTGCTCCCCAGATCCCTCCCGGGAGAAGGTCGGGAGGAGCTGCAGCCTCGGCCGGGCTCATAGCCCCCCTGGCTGTGGCTTCGATCAGCTGGACTGTGCTCTTCAAGAGAAGTCAGGTTTCGCTGTTTGCATTTTAGAAAGTAACCCAGAGAAGACCCAGCAAGCCTCTCCACAGGTGCAGCCCACGTCCATGCTGCTCTCTGGACGGTGGCTGCAGGTGACGCGGAGGAGTAGGCGGCTAGGTCTTCCGTGCACACCATGGCAGAGGAGAGGCTCGGGCCTGTCACGCGGCTGCACCGCACCCACGCTGCCCGGGGCCTCGTGTGGGCCCCACGTGGACAGAGGGCTCCCTGGCAGTGGTCTCTGGCACTGAGGGACCACCCGTGCTGTCCTGTCGCCCCTCACTCAGCCCTCGCGTGGCGCGGTGACTTCCAGGGGCCCTGGCATGGGGCTGCTGTGTGCCCTGCCCCAGTGCCCTCTCCCCTCTCCCCTCGGTTTCCCTGTTTGTCGGCTCCCTCACGGGGACTGTCCTCCCTGCCACAGCCATGAACCCTGGGCGCGGACGGCTGCCAAGTCCTCCATCCGTCCTCTGCACGTCCCGGCCGCCCCTTCCCAGACCGTCGGGGCCCACAGCTGTCTCTGGACGCAGCCTGGCACAGCAGAGGCAGCGAGGGGGACCTGTGTGTGTGCCTCTGACTCCCTGCACGGTCGGCGTCCCTCTGCAGCCGT